TAATTACTGAGTATGGTTTGCATGACGCATTAGTGCCTTTTTCTGTTGTGTGCCTATTTAAGTGATAACACTCTTCCATCCATGTTGAATTATTAATGTTCTCAATTGGAGTTTATGAAAATTTTAAAATATACTCCGCATATTAAAAAAAAAAGTGAGAAGTTAAAATGTTTTATTCTCTAAATAGTACTTAATAATGTCCAGAAGGAAGAATAATGTTCAGTGATGGCATACATTTACTTGAATAATGACTAAAAGTGTTACATTGAAAAAAAACACATATGATACTATTTAGGGGAAGTCGTTATGTTTTAGTGTTATTTAAGTAAATTCTCGTAGTAAAAGTTTGAATAGAAAAAAATAAAAAAATTGTACACCATACAATTTTTTTTTTGAAACACAACACACAATTTTAGCTCTTCTTCTTGCTCCCTGTGGATTTTAGCTTTGCGCAGAAGTCTTCAAGGGTGCCCCCTGTATATATGTTGCATCCTTATCCATTTTTTATTTTTTTAAATACTGCTTTTGTAACATGTCATTTAGTATTTTAATTCAGTAATTTAAAATCTTATATTAAACATTTCATTAATTTTGAAATAAGGAGTATAATTAAGAAGAAAGGTACATAATTAAAATGATAATAATTATTAAAGAAGATACATAATTAATAAGGTACATAGTTTAAAGTATTTATGAAAAAGAGAAGGAAAAAAAGAAAAACAATAAAGAAATAAAAGAGAAGGCGTTGGTGCTTATTTCCAAAAGCATCAGAAGCAGTAAAGCTATTCACCTAAAATTTGAAGAGTATTTTAATAATGATCACCATTACAATAATAAAACTAATAATAAAATTTCAAATTTATAGTGTGTGTGTCTATATGTGTGTGTGTGTGTGTGTGTGTGTATATATATATATATATATACTCCCTCCGTCCTAAAATTAACTTCTCAGTTTGACTTTTGTAGTCAAACTTTTTTACTTTGACTGTATATTAAGAAAAAAATACATTGAATTTTCATATAAATTTATTGGCAATAGATTCATTTTGGAATATAGTTTTGAAATATATAATTTTTATAAAATATATTTATATGAAAATTGAGATATTGATGGTCAAAGAATCGCATTAGAGACCGTGAAAAGTCAAATGAGAAGTTAATTTTAGGACGGAGGGAGTATACACACACACACACACACAAAATAAATGGGTTCGGGTCGGATGACCACGAGAATTGGACAAAAATTGTGGCATGTAAATCCAGTCTATACTTTATTGATAAAGTGTATAAGTGACAAATTTGTGAATTTTATGACAATTAAATTGGTATTTCTAATCTATCTCGTAGCATTCATATGGAGAGGCATATCTACCTTTTCGAAGTAGGGGGCCATGTCCCCCAACTAACTTTTGGGTCTAGGATTAAAAAATACTTTTTCCGTCCCTAAATATTTGCCATATTTGTATTCCCGATGCAAAATATCAATTTTTTTCAATTCATTTTATTTATATATTGGTATAGAAAAAAAGCAAACGTTGCAAATAATTTGGGACGGAGGGAGTAGTAACTTTTATGTATTTTGGCTCACAATTAAAATTGAAGGTACTCCAACTATATTGTGTTTTATATGATAAAATAATTAAGAGTAATCCTAGAGGGTGCATCAGAAGTATATTCTAGAAGTATATTCTATGTGTACACCACCAACATTCTCACCATACATTTCTTATTCATTTCTCTCTCTTCATATCGAGATCAAAAAAGAAATATTTGCACTAAATAGCATTAAAACTTAAGTCATTTCCTTAAATAGCACTTAAATTGTTTTACTCCCTAAATAACACTTAATAATGTCCATAATGTCCTGTGATGACGAATATTTACTTGAATAATGACTAATGTATAATGACTAAAAGTGCTACATTGGGAAGAAAAACACATATAGTGCTATCTAGGGAAAGTCATTATGTTTTAGTGCTATTTAAGTAAAATTCTCATCAAAAAATGTATAGTAAAGAAGATGTTGGTGTATAAATGAGGTACCCTAGCATTTTTATACTCCCTCCGCCCCCCTGTATTTGTCCACTTTCATTTTTACACACCATCCAATGCACTTTTTAAATCCATTTTATCTTGTAATTTGTATATTAAAAAATTATAAAAATTATATATTAATAATCTATATGTTAAGACAAATCAAACAAGATCACACATGACTATATTTAGGCTTACACATTGAGAGAATTTGATGAGTCAAAGTGCTTAGATGAACAGTTCCAAAAGTCAAATGTGGACAAATACAAGGGGACGGAGGGAGTAATTAAATATATATGTTTGGTACTCCAATTGGAACTAAAGTGTGTTTATTTCATATGACAATAATTTCTTACAAAATAAATAAGTGTGTTTATTTTAGTAGAAAATAATATTCTGACAAAATAAAATAATTCTGAAAATAAAATAATTTCCAATTTAAAAACACTTAATTTAACAAAAATAAAATAGTTATGCATTTCAATTTTTACAACAATATACAACCAATCTTAAAGGTATGGTACAATATATTTCAAAAATATGTACACTAATTTTTTTAAAAAAGTAATACTTGATATACATGAAATGCATAATGAACTGTACCAAAATTTTGAATTATTAAGGACTCGTAAAGATCACAGTGAGATAAACGAAAACGGACTTTTTATATGATATTTCTAGGATAATGTCATCTCCTTACAAGATGTCGTTGTAGTATAGTGGTAAGTATTCCCGCCTGTCACGCGGGTGACCCGGGTTCGATCCCCGGCGACGGCGACTTTTTATTTGCTCCAAGTTATGATTAAAGTAGTTATGATTAAGCTTTTAATAGTTTTTCAATTAGAAGACTTAGCGCCGCGGTTAGCGTTTCCACTTCTCACCCAATGACACAGGTTCAATCCCCAGCCTTGTTTTTTAATTTATTTTTTTTTCTTTGAAAGATCCATTTTTCAATAAGTAGCTTTTAACTTGTTTTTTCATTCTTTTTATCGGTTAATTTTGGACGTTAAAAAAATACTTTGGTCTCATTAAAAAGGCTCACATTAGGCTCACTTGAGAACTTATTTGCCAATGGGAAATACGTAGTATATTTTAAGGCGTTCTTTTTTGGCAAAGCCGAACACAATATAGAGAACAACCATTATTTTGCATTGGATTGAAAGGGTTAACTCGAAGTCAAAATCGACACCCCCATAGCACATGCCGAAAAACCAAATAATATGTGCATATATATATATATGTAGATATAGAAGATGGATAGATACAACTTCCTTTCACTAGTACAACCTACGATGTTTTACGCTTTTTAACTACCTTCCCAGTTTTTCTTGGAAACGCGAGCTTCACGGCCTCCCTCAATGGGATTGCATCTTCTTCCTTGTGTCCTTCCTTCCAGACCTTGAACTTGGACGCTTCCCCATTCGTGTTGCTCCAGCTTCTCAGAAATGACAGGTTGTACGTCTCGTTCTTCTTGTTCATCCCACAGATGTGCCATACCAGTGCCTCAGGGTCCTCACTTCCAACCTCCTCCTCCTCTGCCTTTTCATCACCATCTTCATCATCATCTTCTTCTTCTTTAGCCATGTCAGCTGTTTCTTCTTTTGCCTGTGTGACATTATTCGTCAGCTGATCTTTGTTTTTTCCATCACACTCGCTGGGCTTTTCAGCAACACCATTAGATTTGTGGGGTTTTTCAGTGGCCACACTGAAATCATCATCTGTCTGCTGCATTTGCCTTTTTTTATCATTGGGAGATTTGTGCATCTGCTGGTTTGGTGGTTTATTGCCAGGCGAAGCCCCTTCTTCAAGACGATGGTCCAAGGAAGGGATATTTGTGTGCTTTTGGAGCTCTTCATGTTGGCGTGAACTTAACATGACCATTCGTTCTTGATTTGCTGTTGTCTGGAGAGGCTGTTCAGTTCTGCTAAGCTCTTTTTCTTCAGCAGTGATCACGGGTGATTCTTCAAAAAAACAGATGTTTCAGTACAACAAAAAATCTTCCATAACTAAAGCAATAATTTATGATAAAAGAGCAGATTCACCATCATGCTGCCAACATAACTTATTTATGAAGCACAGGTACCACAAACGGCGAGTTGGGATGAAGACTTGGTGTTTTTTGGAGGGCTATGCGCCCAAAAAATCTACGGAGTATATACTTATGTTTGAGATTTTTAAACTTGAAACAATAACCTAATAACATGTTCATATAACCTTTCATTCATTGGTTATTTGCTTTTAGACACTAATTATCAAGATATAGACTAAACCTGCAAAGCTTCCCCTCCAAAAACCCCTCCAAACAGACCCCGATTGACAGCATATCTTTTGTAAAAAAATGCAAAGCCTTGACCACCAAAACCTTCCAAAATCCCCATCCAAACAGACCCCAAAAGACAGAATATCTTTTGCAAAAAAAAACCTCCTGGAAAATGTTGCAATATGAGCTTGAAATAAAAATGGAAGTCAAACAAGAGTTGCAGGCAACTTTGGGTGAACCCAAGAATGGAATCGATCAAAGTGTCAACCCTTACCTTTGGCAAACACAGGTGTTCTTTCTGACAGGGCTCCATTTTCTTTTTTGACACTGTTACTTTCCTCAGTTGGACCGTCAAGATCACCTGTATCTGGAATCACCACAGGGAGTACTTGTAATAGTCGAGACACTTCTCCTGGATTTTGTAGCTTCTGTTTCTTCTGCAAGTACTCAAACAGTGTAATGGAAATAGTCAAGGTAAACTATGTTTTTATGGAGCATATCACAAACCTTTTGTCCATTGCCAATGAAGCAAAAAAAAAGTCATTATTGACAATGTTTGACCTTTGCTAAATAATGGGCTAAATCAACATAACACATCAAACTTCCTTCTTACTTTTGACAAGGTTTTGGGTTGTAAATGTAGCAAATGCGTCAAGGGTCTAACAGAGCCTCTGTTTTTTTAGAAAGAAGGCTGCACACACCTTGGCCCCAGTTGAATAGTTGATTATACATGGTTTTGTTGTTGACTTATTGTTGTTGTACTAACAGATATTTATGACACACACACACATTTATCCATATAATGTATGAATACTAATGACATCTCATAAAGGATATTCGCGCCTCCATCCTTTCTCATTTGCAATATTGATGAGGTTCTGCAATCTTTTCAGCTCCCTAGGAAGCCACTGATATTCAGAAAAGGAAACCCCGTGAGAAATTCATTCGGTTAAAACAATCTCCTGAATACAAAACCGCGTAGTGCATAATGGAGCACTTGTTCAACTTTTGAAGTTGAAAGTTTACACACTAATTAGAATCTGAACCAAGAAACAGAACACTTTTTTTAACAATAAGCTACTACCACAAATGTTAAACATGAAAAAACACACAAAGTTTGGTCCCTACATGCTTGGTTATATCCTCGTGGAGAATTCTTGCTTTCTCTTGCAGTTCAACCTGCATTTTTTATGTTAATAAAATTAGTTCAATACTTTCAAAATAAGACATAATAGAAAACTATAGGCAACCAAACACTTACCAAAATAGGTTTCTTTATCAGTCCAGCTTTCACCTTCTTTAGTAACTCTCCACATTCCTCCTAGATATAAATACAAGTGCTTACATGTGTTCAAAACAATATACAAAACAAAGGCTCTTCCATAAGAAAATATTACATATGTAAATGTTTTCCATTTCTTCAAGCACATAGATGTTAAGAATTGTACTAGTACCAAAATGTGGAATGGAAATGCAAAATAACTTGACATCGAAATGAGCAGAATAATTTGACACCAAAGGGAAAAGAAAAGGTGAAGGGGGGATTGATACTGCTACAAGGTGGAGGGAAAAATACTTGGAAAATATAGATCAGTTTGTGTGTGAACAGTTTGGTAGCCTAGACAAACATCATATACAGTAAAAAGAAAAACACAATAAAATCAAAACGTAAAATAAACAAGGAACTATGTTACCTCAGAAAAATCAGCATCAGAGAGCATGCTTAAGCTAATATCATTCGGCATGTTTGAGACACGAAGCATAGCCTCACAATTTTCTTCACCCACAGAAGTACTCGTGATGCCTATAGAAACTCAAGATAGGATGTAAATCAAATAGATTATGCTATACAAATATTTCGTTCAGAATGACTCATTAGCAGATGGTTATAAAGTCAACCTGTAACTTGCTCAAGTTGAAACGAGTTCCGATAGTGACAACCAATTGGATTTGACTTGAACCGAACAAAACTCCCGATCACCTTTTTTTCAAATGCATCAGGTTGTTTGCATAACTCATGCACCAAACTCTTCTTCAAGTAAACAAGTTTAATATTTTCTGGAATTATGGCAGCATATTTACTCTTAGCCTGGGGTACATCAGCTTTTACTCCTTCCTTTTTGAGAATACCATTGCCTGATTTTTGCTTTTTAGCGTCTGATTTATCCTTTCTTTCCACTTCAGGTGTTAGTGTGTCTTTCTCATCATCATCTTCAATTTCATTGGACATCTCATCATCCTCACACTCATCTTGGTTCTTAGCAAAGTGACATTCAAGGAGCTTAGGTATTCTATTTTTATTGATCTCCTTCTTTCTGAAGAAGGAATGCAGTTTAGAGTCACAAATTATCTTCCTTTTCTTAGTGGGATTACTGAGCTTGTTTTCCTTTACATATTGAAGGATCATCCTTTCCACGTCGTCCGGTGATCTCTCTTCTGTAGTATCCTCACCAATTGATTTCAGAAACCGTATAAGAGTTTCAGAACCCCAACCAACAAATACCATTTTTTTAGATCTCCCTTTTTCTCGGAAAACAGCCTTTTGTGTTTTTGATTTCTTCTTCTTTTGTCCAATATTCTTTCCTCCCCAATCATATGGGTTTTCATCATCATCATCATCAGAAAGGAATTGATCTTCTTCATCTTCACCTTCATCAGCAGACTCATCACAGTCTGATGAAGATTGATCACTTTTGTCCAGGTCTAGTCGCCTTTTAGCTGCATGAACAGTATCTGCATTCAGTCCTTCCTTTTCCTTGATAATCTCATAATACTCTCTGAACAGCCCCTCGTAGGTTTCCCGGTCTTTTAAGTCCACACTTTCCTGAGAAGCAAAAAGAAAATAATAAACTCCCACAACAATCTCAAATTCTCAGCATGATTTATGACAATGTGGTGTTACCTAAAAGAATGTTAATAGTTTCTACACTCCTTTTTACTCTAGCTCTAAATAAGGTTCATATTTTTTAAAACAAAAAATTGTTAGGTTCAAATAATTGCTCTCTTGTGCATAAAATCTCAACCACCCAAATTCAGTTTCTTAATAATCTTGTCCGATCAAACCCTGATTCGTTTTATAGGCCAGAGGGAGCATTACATAACATTCCATTTTAAAATGCATTGCACTCTATATTGCCTAACATAAACAGCATTTCTGTTTTATAACATGAATACACAGGCCTACATCTTGACACCGCCACCCAACAAAGTGGCTATTATACTAGGCTTTGTTGTTGTATTGCACTCTACTACTAATACGGTTCTTTATGCTCCTCATGTAAAGAACTCATTATTATTGATAAATAGTTGCATTTGCATTTTATTTACTGTGTTCTAAAGCAGCAGCAACAACAACCTAGTATAAACCCAACTCCATTAGGTCCCGAGGAGGGGGTCAAGATGTACTCAATATTGCATTAGACCGTAGATGCAATGATGCAATACTACCCAAAAGTTCATAGAAAGTAAGAAGCAAAGGAAGTTCAATGTGCCAGTTTGATTCAGTCCACTACGTACCCAAAACTAAAACATTGTCAAAAATGATAGCTCCATTGGCAATGGAAGGAAGTCCAAGCTATTTTAAAAAAGAAAAAAAGAAAAAGGAAAAGAAAAGTATTCCTAGCAATCACTGTCAAAAACACATGACTGATAATTTCAAAAACAATCCTTGAGCGTACCCCTTCAGAATCAACATCTCTATTTTCCTCCACAAGTACTGCTAGCCTTAGACAATCGTTGCAGAACCCATATTTGTCTTTAACACGCACAAATTTTGCTTTTTTAAGACACCGACGACATACTGCATTTGGACAGCAGTAACAACGGAGGATTGAAGATCTGCGGCATATCAAGCAGGAGTGCCATTCTGGGAACGAAATAGAATTATAACAGTACTATATAAATAGAACTTTCTCCTAAAAACATGAAAGTTTAAATGCACACACATATGAAAGTATTGGTTGCTTTTAAAAGATTGTCTACTATTGAACTAATGTAATTTAAACATAGTGGTGTAGTACTAATACTGCAACCATAAGAGGTATTCTATCCATAAGCTTTCATTAGCTCTTGAATCTGACAAAAGATTGTGCAAATAACTAGCCTTCTCTCACTCAAAGTCAAACAATCTCATTTCGCACATGTAAATAAAATTGATGAAGTGTGTGCAAACTTATTATTGACTCCTTTAAATAAAAGATTAGAAAAAGAAACATCATGAGAAAAGAATACAATATACATCCATGATGAGAAGCTGATTTAGCAGAATAAGAGATAAATTTAGTACGCCCTCCGTCCCACTATTTTTGGGATATAGGGAAGGTGTCACACAAATTTAGGAAAAATGGAATTGTTTGTTGATATTGAATTGGTAAAGTATGAATTGACGAGCCAGAAAAATCATAACAAATATGATATGAGACTTAACTTTTGGGACACTCTGAAATGGAAAGATTAAAATAAATAGTGAGACTGAGGGAGTATCTTACTACATGTCCAGCGTTGATTACTTTTCAAGGCTGAATCATCTTTCCCTACACACTCTGGATGGTAAGATTTAATACACTGCCTGTAAGGAAAAAAACACACTGAATTGTCAACTTTCCATATAAATATGTGGAGAATTTAATTTAATTAGTGGACACTTTTATGATCTAACAAAAATAGTATACACACTGTACGTAGTCCCACATCGCAATGGAAGCACTCTAGGTTTCCAAACACCCGTTTAAAAGAGCTTTAGAGATGTTTTTCAATGAATAAAAAGACCAGAGTGATATGTTCAGGGAAGGAAGCGCCACATTAGGCAATGCATGAGCCTAGCAAGGATAGCCATCTGAACACATAACTAATTCAGTTTATTGGCATCTAATAGTTCAGATGGTATTCTAGTAGTTGTTGTAGTCTGTAGATTGTATCCTAATTAGTTTCGGAAGTTGCTTTTGCAACAGTCAATGTATAGGACTTCGTATTGAAGGAATACAAATTTTTGTTTCTTTCTCTAAATGAACAATTTATACGAATGGATTCAAGTTTACATATAAATGAGTAGCACATGCATCTATTCTCTTGTGATCCTCCCCTCCGTATGCTGCTAATCAGATATCACCCAATTTTCTCAACAATCTTAAAACAAATTATCATACTGATAATTGCTACTAGTGATGCAAAAGATGTAACGAATAGAAATGACACCGAATCAATAGAGGGTCCAAATAAGTTTCTTGGGTGAAACTTCAATGTATGACTGCAAGCAATAGTTCCCTATCTCACAACCTTGGATTTGATAAGGTAGTTGGAGGAAGAGACTGATGTTTAAGCTTCAAATCATGACTGCTGTAACACAAAATGATCCAGATTCCCTATATAAACACTATGTACTGACTGGCTTGGTTAGTTCATTACACAACCAAATTGCTACGGAATCTCTAGCTCAAAAATATATAACCGAGAATGCTGGAGCAAAAAGATTGATTGGACCCTTGGTTATCGAATGGTAAATTTCTAGTATTACTTTTTTAATAAATACCAAGCGTTCTTCAAACAGATCCATGATTTGGGGAGAGGGGGGTGAATCATTCCAGGTTCCTTCAATTAATCACTTTTCCCCCCCACATGTATGGCATGACTAAAAGTGCTACCAAAATCATCTACTGAAAAGTAATCGATACGTGCATAAAAACCCCAAGTGATTTTGCAAAATAAACAAGAATGTCATTGATACATGCATAATTGTTCTCCTCTTCCAAAAGGCTTCATACTAATGTAGCATATACAAACGAGACAGGGGGGGGGGGGGGGGGNCATCCTTGCATGTGAAACACCAGTCCTCAGCGGCCAACTCTTTGCCCTCCTCTCTGCTGCTCTTCCGCATGGCTCTGAAACACAGAAATCAAGAAACCCCGAACTCAAAAACTGGGCAATGGGAATAAAAATCTTGGAAAATCAAACTCGGGTCTGAACCAAATTGAGCAAAAAGTAATCTATATCTACGGCAAAGCAAACGAATACTGGGTAAGTGAATAAATTATCAAAAAAAAAAAAAAAGATAAAATAAAAGACGCCATTGGTGAAATTTTCTACAAAACTTGACTCAGAAATTTCTGGGGAATGATGGTAAGTAACATCAAGAGTGAACCTCACAAGCTAAAAGTCTAAAACCAGGCCAAGAATGTAATGCAATCCCTTGTTGTTCACCAGTAGAAAGAAAAGAGACTTTTTGGCGACAGTCACGATTCACGAATCTTTATGGCTTTACGGAACAAAACCGAGAAAGAGCCCTCTATTTTCATTGACCCGACGTAGACCCACTTGACCTCCGCGGTTCAAACAAAAAAAAATCCTCTAAAAAACTATTGCTTTTTTAAAACCTAACTCCCAAAAACTTGTAACGTTAGAAAATGAGTCATTCAAAATCTTAAAAAATTATTTCAAAAAAAAAATCAAAACTCAAACCCTTATTCCAAATAGAAAAATATTAGTCATATTAATTTCGTAACGAGTTTAAAAACCAAACGATTTTCAAACTATTGTTATGACGATAGAATTAGTAACGGGTTTATATTTCCGTACCATTGAGCGACAAGATTGAGATTGTCGCCAATTTCGTTCCAAAAAATGTACTTCCCCCATCCTAGTTTATACTTTGAAGCTAAATTTTCGGGGATCAATAATTTGTTAAAGCTTCTGCAACATTGAAAACTTTGTTACTGTTATTATTATACATATTATTTGTGATAAATAAAAGTGTTTGAAATGTTTTAAATTTTATGATTACCAAGTTTATACATAATCCGAAAGGACTGCAAATCTGGACAGATTAGGGTGTTACAATTCGTCCGGGCTGACCCCAATCACCGGTTTCCTAGGTCGGACGAGTTTGGGTAAATTGTCTTGAAAATGGTTTTACCTACTGAACTAGATCAGAATCATGTCTGATTCGCATGTGTGCTCCTTAATACCTTTTAATAATATTTTTTGATTCGCATTCCTACGGTTTTAACTTTTTGTGTTCAAATATAATGTTTTTGGTAAGTTCAAAGAGAATAAAAAATTAAAACATAGAAAAACAAAATGAATAAAATTGAAATATCTAAAAAAGTGTCTCATACAAAAAGAAATTTTTAGAATATCTAAAAAAAATCCTTAGAATTGGGATGTCCAACAAGCATTTTTTGTTTTATTTTATTTTTTATTTTATTCCTCAATTTTTGACGTTCTAAAAACAAGTTAATGATTTTTATTTTATTTTAGAAAAGAAAACATAAAAATTATTAATTTGAGATGTACAGATGCAGTATATGTTAATTTTATTTTCAAACAAAAACAATTTTAAATTTTAAGAACATTATAAAACAATTTTAAAAAATAAAAAAATTGATTGGTAAAAGAAACAAAAAAATAGATAGCAAACACTCACTTTGGGACAGAAGGAGTAGTAAATATTACTTGAGTTTTAAAGATACTAATATTTTTAAATAACATCCGAGCATCTGGTGTCCCAAACCATGAATTGAACTTAAAGATTGGGACACCAGTGATGAGGAATATAGACCAATCTTCAGGTTTGTGCAATGGAACAAGATTGATCGTTACACGACTTGGCAATCATCTAATTCAAGGCAAGGTGTTGACAGAGAAAAATATTAGTCAAGAAGTTGTTATCCCGCGATTGTTGCTTACGCCATCGGATACAAGAATTCCTTTTAAATTTCAAAGAAAACAGTTCCCGATCATAATTTCTTATGCTATGACGATTAATAAAAGTCAAGGACAATCATTGACGCACGTTGGGCTCTTACTAAAGAATCTTGTATTCAGTCATAGACAACTTTATGTGGCTTTATCACGAGTCACTATTCGCAGTGGATTAAAGATTTAGATTTATAGTGAAGATCCTGCGACAACAAATAAAACCGCAAATGTAGTCTATAAAGAAGTTTTCCAAAACTTATAATTGTATTCTCGCTTATTCTACATTGTTATAAAACTCATCCTCTTTAATATATATTACGTATCTTTGTTAAAACCTAATTTTATCTCTTAATTATATCAATGCTTCCCCTAATTATATCACGGAATAAAAGCTGAAAGGGGTCTTGTTTAGAATATACATACTAAAAAAATTTACAGCAGAAAAATGTATTGGATCATACATAGCATAAAAAAAATCAAATAAAATTCATGCAAGGGAGAGCACAGGCCAGCCAAGAAATGGAGGTGGTGAATCTGGAAGGGCTGATTGAGAGAAGACGCTCAGCTCCACATACCGCTCCGAAGGAGTGCCCTCCTCCCCTGCCCGAAAAGAAACTGACCCCCGTCTTCCTGAGTTTGTACAAGGACTGTTTGCCACACTTGATCCCACATGACTTCTGTTAGTGATTTGAGAAATCGTGTCGTTAAGGTCACCACCGCCACTTATTCTTCTGCTATCTCCTGTGTCTCTGTGTAGGTTTCTCAAAGCCAGAGCGTCTGAGACAGGAAGATATACCAGCACGCAAATACCGACCCCAGCACATAAGAGGAAGGATATGAAACCCAAGAAAGCAAGAGTTTCAAAGACAGCTTCTCCTGGGGAAGATAGAACAGAAAGACCAAGAAATACAAACCTTATTGGGAAGAAACCAGAAAAAGAAACGATTAATGAGTAGACCCTCCTTCGCAAACCCTTATTTATGATCAAATGGGCAACTTGTCTTCCGAGCCAGGACAAATAACATGAAATGATGATAGATAAAAGACCAGTGCAGATGATACTTAGTAGAGGGTAAGCACAGAGGAGGGCAATATCGTCATCATCACCTTTAGTCTTAGGTGAAACAGCCACACTTGTAAAATAGAGGGGCAATCTCTCCTTGTAACCATCCTTGTTAAATTTTGGCCCGAGTAATATAACAACAAGCTGAAGAAAGAAGATGGGCAGAGAGAGAAGAAGAATATAGCAGCATGTTTTGATATTCCACTTTTGACTCAAGGGCCCTGACTTCTGCAATGATGCATGTAGGAGAAATACAACTGTGAGATATAGGCACGGTTCCATGAACCCCAGGTTTGAAACAATGTGACATTTGCAGATATTTTCCTGCCATTTCCAGTTAATAGCATTTAGTAGTCTTCCACTACGTCTCCAAAGACTCAGCCGAAGAATCTCACCAAACCCCCAGAATACTGCAAACAGGGTGAATGCAATTCGGATAATCCACGGACCGTTGAAATAACAAAGTTGGACATTCCCTTGGCTGCGGATTTTATTCCGGAAGTAGAAAGAATACAATATGCAAAAGAGTCCAAAAAGAAACAGAACGCTAACAAGACAGATTGTCAACACACCTAGTGCATCAGCAACCTTCAGGTGGGGCATTACCCAAAGCAAAAATTCCAAGCATGCTCTCTGTTAGCATGGAGACCTGTGTATCATCTGGTAAATGATCCCTCAATCCTTTAGGAAAGGAAATGTTCAGGTTGAAATTGGAAATTTCTTGTAAATGCCAAAAGAAACGTATGAGAGTTTTGACAGGCTAACTTCTAAGCCCCCGGAGTTCTGTAAATGGAATTTTGGTTGTTTCAACATCTCCAAAGCTGAGTTGCTGATTGAATTTACAACTTCGACGTAATACCAAATCTCTTAACACTATTGAGCACCATAGCAATCAGACTCTTTAAATGTTAAGCCCTTGAAGCCTGCTAGAGCCAAAGGACCTGTAATGGATAATGGAGGATATATGATTTATTCATCCAAACAATAAAAAAAGAAAAAAGAAGAGTGAAGAGAGTAAATATGTCAGCAAAAAAATTAACAGATGAAGTCCTAACACTAGCAACATCACATCTCATCCCATTATGATGCTTCAAATGGAGAAGAAAACGTTTGTGGGAAGAGGGAAAGGGGGCACTTAATGCAGAACGATTTGTGTGGCGTACACATATAGGCATAACAGAATAGTAACACATGAATGTTTTACAGAGAAATTTCCCATAGAGAGAAGTGAAAAAATTAAATATTCATCTAAACACACCAAAAGGGCAGAAGAGTTTTAAAAAGTTACTGACATCCATAATTATATGAAAAAACAAGGTAAGTTGCAGAGAAACCTCTATGAACACAATAAAGAAGACTTGTGAATTGAGAAACTTGGATAAAGTTGTGAAAATTACACAGATTTACCAATTAAATAACCATCAAATAGTGAGTATGAGTTTCTGCTTTTTCCCAAACTTCAATTCGGAAATGCCATTATCATGCAAGAGCCCCCACATCACACTAGATTATGGTATCCTTGAGTGCATGAAACCACACAAACATGAAGCACGGGTTTCTGCTTGTTTCTAAACAATATAGATTCAAAAATTCCATTATGATGCAAGAGTCCCCAGATAACACCAGAAGGCAGAATCTCGTATCCTTTGTTGGATGAAACCAAACAAATAGGGAGTACGAGTTTCTGCTTGTACACAAACACATAGATTTGAAAACTCCGTTATCTTGGAAGAATCCGCAAATAATGCCAGAATTTTTGCACGATTGGGTCGCACGGACAAATTATACAAATACTAAAACAGTACGACATTAGAACAACACTATGGTGGAGGTAAACACGCATTGGACATCACGGAGAAATCCGAGAGCTTACTGATCGCAAATGAAGGATCCGCCAAGCACTGACGTGAAATCGGGAGGTTAGCGGGATCAGCTCGAGGAAACCCTAAAAGGGAGAGGAAGTCTGAGGGAGGAGGGAAGAAGGAGAAAACAGGGGAAGAAGAGGACTCGGGAGAATGGAGTGACAGAGTTGCGAAACAGCCTGTCCACAGCAAATATTTCACAAAAATATTTGAATTTTTACATAAACTAATAAAAATGATTATTTTTCTACGTTAACTCTCATTTAGAACCATTATGGTTTTGACTTTTAAAAAATCTAAAAAGATTGTATTTTGGTATTGATTTTCCAAAAATATCTTTAAATGTGATGGGTAGATTAATGGTGAAAAATGTGACGTGACATGTAAGTTATTATGGATAGATTAATAGTGAAAGACGTGATGTTATAGGTAAGTTACGAATTAGTAGGAGAGTAAAAGTGATTTTTTTAATATAAATGAGAAAAGTTTTTTGGTACGGATAAAAAAAAAGAAAAGTTTTGTAGGACGGAAGAAGTATTATTTTTCCTCTCTTTAACTCTCACATCATCTATATTCTTTTCTTTTTTAAGGGAAATGCTTGATTCACAAATACAATCATCACAAAATTCACAAACTTACTATTTGTGAACTTTGATAATAAAATTTAAATGGTCTAAAACAATTTTAAATTGAGAATTTAAATCATAAATAGTAAGTTTGTGGAGTTTGTGATCATTCTGTTTGTGAACGTAGCATTGCTCCTTTTTTAACCCTCTCCCCCTTCATCTTTCTCTCCTTTCTTCTTTTCCTCTTTTCTTCTGTTTTGTTTTTCCTTCTAAAATCAGAGTGGTATTGTGTTTCTGGCCCCTATGCTCTTTGTGGAAATTCCTAAACAGACTGACCATAAGCAAAACCATGATATACATTTCCCATTACAAGAAAGGGGAGATTTCACCCAGATATTATCAGTCATCCAAACAAGGGAAAATTGGATCAGAACCCCATACAAGACACCATAATGTAGGTCAAAATACTGCACATCTTATAATAACAAAAATACGGATAATAATGGATTAGTCGAACCAGACTACCCAAGCTTCCAGCTCCAAGAACACATCATCGCATTCATCGCCCGAGCCCCGGAATTTATGACGCGATGATCAACGGGTCTGTTCTCGAGGTAATAGTAAGCATCGTAAGAAGTTGCAACCGACATGGGAATGGCAAGAATTTCTCGTGCCATTTTGGACACGTTCGGGTACTTGGGACCACCAATGGACTTCCACCATTTCAGCACATCAAAGCTCTCCTCCTCCTCCCATGGTAAGACAGGCTCTTCCAGGTACATGTCCAGATCATTCGCCGTTGTTCCATCAGAAGAAGAGGAATAATCTGAATAAACCCTCCGAACAGCCTCCAAGAGATCCGCGTGTCGGAATATGCCATCCGTGGGTTCAAATTTTGTCGAAACGTCATCCGCGTATTGCATCTTGCAACGTGGGTCCATCACAGACGCAATCGCCAAGGGCAGGTAGTTTTGTCTCATGTACTTGTCAAGCCTCTTGACCATTTTCTTTGCAATCTTGAGGGTGAAAGCATCGGGACTAGCTGCTTCGGCAAGTAAACTTGCACGAAGCTCTTGAAGATTATACAAAAACAAGTTTGCAGTCGAGTTTTTTACCAGAAAAACCTTTTTTGCCGTGTCATTGACGCGTTCAACCAGTCTATGAACGACCCGAACTTTCTCCCACTCCTCCGCGGATGGAACGGAATAGTGATCAGTTATCGATGCTGAACTGAACTCTCCGAGAGCATCCAACTCCATAACATCTTTTATTTTTTTGTTTGTCAAGTGCCACATACATTCTGATTTTGACCAACACAGTTCTTTAAGCATACTGATGATGTCGGATATCTCTTCAAATGCATCTTCGGCCATTAAACCAAACATTTCAGCACAGCAGCTGACGCAAAAAAGCCGAGTTTCAGATGGAAGCATATTCCTCTCTTTGATTTGAGACTCAATGGATTCAATGGTTTCGTCAACGGTATCATCATCGCGGGAGGTGAGAGTATGGACCTTACCTGTGAGGCTGTAGTCATCCAATGTTTTCACAATTACTGCATCAATAAAATCAGAATTCCAAGCATCATATAGCCTGAAATGAAGAACCCAATTCTTCAGTTTCCAATTGTCATCGATGAAGTTTGCTGCCAAACATACATAGTCAACGATCTCGCCAGAGCGCTTGTAGTCACTTAACATGTCAACAGAGAGAGGAATTAGTCGGCCCATGTTGTTTAAAGTGCGTTTAACCTCAGCTTTTGATTGTTCAAAATTTTTCAAACAACGATTTTGTATTGCTTTAGGATTCAAGATACTGATTAATGTGTCATTGAAGGCATCGAATTCATCTTCCATATCATCGCTTCCATCTTCATCTTCCACACCATCACTTACATCTTCATCTTGCATACCATCACTGCCACCGTCATCTTTACTTTCATGTTCATCTTCCATTTCATCATTACCATCTTCCTCGGAATCCACCTCATCGCTATCATTTCCTTCACTCTCCTTGGAACCATTTCCTATTCAAGATTAACAAGGCACATTGAATGACATCAATATGGCTCTCATCTGTCTCGGTATAAGAAACACAAAGTATAATAGTATAATACGCATAAGAAATTTTCATCTCGAAGCTAAATATGTACTCCCCCATCCCACAAAGTGACAAAAATAAAAAGAACATTTCTATTCTTAAAATGGCTCACATTTGCTACTATCATTGTTTTTTTTCAATTCCAGAGAATGTGGAACTAATTCCAAAAGTTAGACAAAAATTTCCAGAAAATCATAAAATTATACGGTTTGAAAGTATCAAAATTATTATTTTTATTTCATGAATTTGATTTAGATTACGTCTTTTTGCATATCAATAATTCACTACTCTCTCCGTCCAACTATAAAGTTCTCATTCACTATTCACATGGTCAAACTTTATTCACTTTGTTGGCCTATTTTTGTGTCCTATTTTATAAAATAATACAGTCATATCACCTCTAGTTTTGTAGATCTTTTCATGTAGTTTTAAATATTTATTTTTTAACTCCATAGCATCTTTCATATAAAATGATTTAAAAATAACATCAGTCAAACATCGTACCGCGCAATAGGAACTTTTTTTATAGAAGCAGTGAATGGTAGATATGGCAAAAGAAGTAGAATGTCTTTTCTAAAATGGAGTAAAAATTTGGGAAGGGTATTTTAAGAATAAATATGAGAGGTGGATATGTAGATTCGGGAACATAAAACAAGAGAGGAAACCAATATTACTTCACCAAGTTTAAGAAAAGTGTTGGAAAGTAAAATCGGGTGGTAGAAATTTGTTTAGAAGAAAGATTAACATTGTGGACCACATTTACCTTACTTTATTAGGTAAGTAAAGACTGTAAAGAAGTAGGACAATTATTTTGGGACAAACTAGTAAGAAAAGTAGGACTCTTACTTGGGGATGTAGGGAGTATATATCAGCAAACACAAAAGATCAAGCAAGGGCATCTCCATAAAAAAAGCCACAAAACAAAAAGAGGAGATGACTCCTAAATATCAGTCATCTGAACAGAAAATTGGATCTGAGTGCCATAAATATCAGTCATCCAAACAGAAAATCCATCAAAACATTGCATCCTAGTGGCAAGAAACTAAGAATGCACATCTTATAACGATAATAATAGTAATGATAATGATCAATAAGTAGTCTAACCAGACTTCCCAAGCTTCCAGCTCCAAGAACACATCATAGTGTTCATCGCTTCAGGCCCAGAAGTTATGACACGGCGATCTGCAGGTCTATTCTCAATGTAATAATAAGCATCGTAAGAAGTTGCAACCGACATTGGAATGGCCAGAATATCGCGCGCCATTTTAGACATGTGCGGGTATTTGGGACCACCTATGGACTTCCACCATTGTAGCACGTCGAAGCTCTCGTCCCATGCTAAGACAGGCTCCTCCAGATACACATCCAAATCATTCGGCGTGGTGCCATCCGAAGAGTAATCTGAATAAACCCTCCGAACAGCCTCCAAGAGAGCAGTGTGTTGCAATATGCCATCTGTGGTTTCAAACTTTGTCGAAACTTCATCCACGTATTGCATCTTGCAACGTGGGTCCATCATGGACGTAATCGCCAAGGCCAGGTAATTTTGTCTCATGTACTTGTCAAGCCTCTCGACCATTTTCTTTGCAATCTTGAGGATGAAAGCATCTGGTTTAGCTGCTTCAGCAAGTAAACTTGAACGAAGCTCTTGGAGATGATACAGAAATAAGTTGGCAGTTGAACTTTTCACCAAGAAAACCTTGTTTGCCGCAGCATTGGCATGTTCAACCAGTCTATGGACAGCTCGAACTTTCTCCCACTCCTCCGCAGATGGAACAGAATAGTGATCAGTTACTGACGCTGAACTGAATTCTCCGAGAGCATCCAAGTCCAAAACATCTTTTATTTTTTTATTTGTCAAGTGCCACATGCATTCTGATTTTGACCAACACAGTTCCTTAAGCATACTGATGATGTCGGATATCTCTTCGAATGCATCTTCGGCCATTAAACCAAGCATTTCAGCACAACAGCTAATGTGAAAAAGGCGAGTTTCAGATGGAATCATATTCCTCTCTTTGAATTGAGATTCAATAGATTCAATGGTTTCGTCAATGGTATCAGCATCGCGGGAGGTGAGAGTATGGACCTTACCTATGAGGGTGTAGTCATCCAATGTTTTCACAATTACTGCATCAATAAAATCAGAATTCCAAACATCATATAGCCGGAAATGAAGAACCCATTTCTTCAGTTTCCATTCGTCATCTACAAAGTTTGCTGCCAAACGTACGTAGTCAATGATCTCCCCAGAAGGCTTGTAGTCACTTAAGATGTCAACAGAGAGAGGAATGAGTCGGCCCATGTTATTCAAAGTGTGTTTAACATCAGCCTTTTGTTTTTCAAACAATTTCAAGCATTCCTTTTCAATTTCTTTAGGATTGAAGATGTTGGCAATATAGCGCTGCATCAGTATTGCATTAATAGCCTCATATTCATCATCCATATAATCACTGCCATCTTCCTCGTCATCTTCCACCACATCATCACTGCCATCTTCATCTTCCACATCATCACTTCCACCTTCAACTTTACCATCATTACTTCCATGATCATCTTCCATAGGATCCACCTCGGCATTGCCATTTCTTCCACACTCACAATGAATGGAATCATTTCCTATTTCAAGATTGGCATGGCACATTGAATAACATCATTATGGCTCTCCTTTGCTCTCGGTATAAGAAACGCAAAGCATAATAAACATAAAACTTATCTCGATGCCAAAAACGATTTTCAAAAAGAATTCATAAAATATCACTTCAACTAACAACAATCATCAATCCCTATAGACTACTGGTTTGAGATATTTTTAATGGTCTGCCTTTTTTATGGGAGTTATTTTTTTCATTTTTAATGTAACTATATGAGATGGCTTGAATGAGAACATTTAAAAGCATGGTACATAGTACTCCCTCTAGACCATGAAACTAGTCTCACTTCTCATTGATTTATCGAGTAAAAAAAGTCCTAGTTTTCAGGTTTTTTTTTATGAACGTAGATATATCTTGTGCATTTTAACTTTTAAGGATTGTTTGTTTACTAAACTTAAAAAGCTGCAAGCTCATAGAAGTAGACTCTTTTTATAAGACAGAGGGAGTATAATGTATCACTCTTACCACACAGTAATTCAGAGCCATTTCAAAGTACTGATATAGAACCACATTGTAAGTAGTACTAGCTTTGTCTAAACAAAAGAGTCATGTCTTACCAAGCTAAAAGTTTTTAATTGCAGTAATATACAACTACAGAAAATCATTAAATCTGACACACTCTTTTTGTTGAACAAAAACATATTTTCAAATAATAATCCCAATTTTTAGGGAGAATAGAGTCTACCATCCCTAGCAAAATCAAATCCTCAATTTTCAATACAGTCCATCACCCAAAATAAAGCTCCAAGTCCATTTCAGTTTAGATAAAATGGTGCAGTCCATAATATTCAGAAATTTCAAACTCAAAATTCCATTTCCCCCCACAAGAATCCATTTAAGAGCAAATGAGAGAACTTGATTTATGTAGGGACAGAGACGGAGAGAATTAACAAAGAAATCGAAGCATCAAATCCTGCAAATAATCATTCCAAACCGCACGGGGAATGATATACCGTTGGTATTCTGGGCGTCATCAGCCGCCGTTGGATGAATGGACCTTCTCGACCGGATCTGCCCCGCCCGAGTGGAATATGAACCACACTCACCATTACCTCTCATATAATCATATTTTAAAAATTGATATATTAATACGAAATAAAAATTACATATTAGAAGTGACAATAATATTTTATTTTATCAAATACTTAATAAAATATACAAATAAACAAAAGTTATTGAGAGGAGAAAAAAATATTACTCTCTCCATCTGGAAAGAAGTTTACATTTCTCCTTTTTCTCCGTTCGAAAATAAAGTTTACATTTCTAATTTTAATCCACACTCTTCCAAAAATACCATTTTCTACCATTTCAATCTTCTCTCTCCCTCTATCCCCCCCTCCACCCCCTTCCTCCTCTTCTTCCTTTGTTCCTCTTTTCTTCTTTTTCTTTCTCCAATCCGCCAGATCTATGAACCTTTTCAATCCTCTCTCTCCCCCTCCCTCCTCTTCTTCTTCCCCTTCTTCTTCTTCTTCTTGCTTTTCTTCTTCTTTTCTTTCTCCCGACCTTCCTCTGTTGTTTCTTTCCCCCACCCCAATCAAAGCTTTTGCTTCTCGAACTGGTGGTGAGGACAGGCGATTGAGGACGAGGATGATTTCTTTAATTTCTTGTTTTGATGATTTCTTGAATTTCTTATCTTGATGAGGACGATTTCTTGTTTTGATAGGGTGGTTTCTTGAATTTCTTGTTTTGATGAGGGTGATTTCTCGTCGGGTGGTGAGGCCTTCCGTAGATGGTGGAAGCTGAGGGAGTGGTGGGGGGAGGGGGGCTGGATGCTATTGTGTTCAGGTGAAAAAGCAAAAAGGGCAGAAAGGGGTATTTTTGGTATTTTAAGTGCTTAGTCAACTCTTAATAAAAATGACAATAAGTCAAAATGGAAACATTAATACCGGACGGAGGGAGTATAATTTATTTTAGGACAGAGAGTGATGGTGTAAATATCGTGCAAATATAAAGTGTAAATGAGCGGAAGGGCTCTGTAACCCGGCTTGTTATTAATGATAGTAGGACTGTTTACAAGTGATAAGCCGAATGGATTAATTAAAGCATGCCTTACAAATGAGGCTTTTAGTCCTATTTATAATAATGACTAAGCACGTCAAGCACTTCTCTGTTCTTCCGGCCGGTCAGTCCCCAACCGGTCAGCTTGCATGCCTTCGTCAGGTGAAGGCAGGTCTGTGATTCCGAATTTTCTCACCCCTGACCGGTCAGACTGCACGGATTTGATACCTCCCGATCGGTACGAACCTACTGGGTGGAATCCATGGGTTATTACCCATTAGAGAGAGTATTATTATTTGTGTCACACAAATAAACTTTGAGGTCATAAAATCATAGAGTATTGAGGTTACTTTAGATTTATTGGTGTAGTATTAGTGGAGTCTTAGGAAATGTTGGGGAATGGTCGCTCCTAAGTGAGAATGTGAAATTGGGGTACAAGGAACTCCAGCCACATTCCTGATGGAACCAAAGATTTGCTATTCTTTCCTTTGGGTATAGTGAAGTAAAACAAAAAGGCTTTTTAAATTGTCTAAATTTTGTTAATAGTAAATTATCAGCTAATCAATGTAATTTTTGATGTTCATCACAAAAAATCACTCTATCTTTATACATAGGGGTCAAACCACTATGTCTTACATATTTTAGTTTAATTGGATTGACTATTTGACTAATGCTATTTTAATAATTGTCAAAGAAGTTTGGTGGTGCAGAATGATGCTACATTGATTTTGTTACGATAAAAGTCTCGCTTTGTTCCTAAGTACATTGACAGGGTTCCAAGGTGGGGCAACAGCCTGTTAGATGGAGTTTGGGGCAACGTCTTTTAGAGAACCCAAGTACTGAATTTGAGACCTTATATAGTTGTTTACTTGTTTGGGGTTGGTTGACTACATGAATGATCACATAAAACACACTATCCATCCAAATTGGTCCTCAAAGTGCAATTGGAGAGCAAAGTCAAAAGAAAGAAATGCACACAAATGAACAAAAGAGACCCACAAAACAAAAGCCATTAGCAATAGTACCACCTTAGGTAAGTTAGTCATTCAACAACAAAAAAACCAGATCCAAAAAAAAACAAAAAGGATCCAATCAGTTTCAAAAGAGACTCCAAAAACAAAAGAGCATGAGCTTGGATTGTTTAGAGAATACTAAAACCAGCAGTGAGGAAGACGACGTCCATATCTAAAGTCGGCATGGGCTTCCCAGGCCTCCAGCTTCTGCAACACGTGATGGCATTCATCAACTGAGGCCCCATGGTAACTATAGAAACATCCGGGTGTCTGTTTTCAACATGATAGTAAGCATCGTACGAGGTTGCAACCGAGACCGGAATAGCCAAAACTTCACGCGCAACTTTGGACACGTTTGGGTACTTTGCACTTTCAGCTTTCCACCATTTCAACACCTTGAATTTCTCTTCGCGTGCCAAGACCGGCTCCTCTAGATACAAATCCAAATCACACTTACTAGTGGCTTTCATAGCTTCGCCACATTCGTTGCTCGAATTATAATGTTCATAAACACTTCTTATAGTCTCCAAAACATCACTGGTTTGAGGTATTCCTTCTACGTCTTTGAATTTGGTTGAAACTTCGACTATAAACTGCATTTTGCAACGCGGGTCCATCACGGATGCGACTGCCAAGACCAGATAATTATTTTTTATGTACTTGTCAAGCCTCTTAAGCATCTTCTTTGCAATCTCGCAAGTGAAAGCGTCTGGGCTACTCGCTTCGACAAGCAAACTTGCACGAAGCTCCTGAAGATGATACAGAAACAAGTTAGCGGTTGAGGTTTTGACGACACGAACTTTCTCCCAGTCTATGGACGACACGAACTTGTCAAGCCTCTTAAGCATCATAGGCATGCTCAACCAGTCTATGGACGACACGAACTTTCTCCCACTGTTCGGCAGATGGAACCGGATAATCTTTTCTTACAGATTCCGAATTGAACTCTCCAAGTGCTTCCATGTCCAGAGCACTTTTGAGCTTTGAATTTGTAATGTGCCACATGGACTCTGATCTTGACCAATGCAGTTCTTCGAGATCGCTGATGATGTCGGATATGTCTTCGAATGCATCTTGAGCCATCAAACCAAACATGTCAGCACAACACCTCACCGAAAAGATACGAGAATCATATGCCAATCAATTCTTCTCCTCGAATTTGGACTTGATCAATTGGATCCCATACGGGCACGCATCGATTCTCCTAGAGGTGAAAGTGAACACCTTATCATCATTGAGATTCCAATCATTGAGCGCCTTCACAACAAACTCATCCATAGTACCTGCAAGGTATCGCCGGAAACAAAGATTCCATTTCCTCAACTTCCAGTCATCGTCAATGAAGTGTGCCGATAGACATGCGAAATCGGGGCCCACGTCGTACCGCCTGTAGTGGGTCAACACGTCGACCGAAAGAGGAATCAACCGGCCCGTCCGATTCAACTCGCGCTCGATTTGAGGCTTTGCCTCTTCAAAAACAGCCAAGCAATCCTTCTTGATAGCCTCCTGGCCCAATTTCAAAGAAGGGCATTGCCTCTTCATCAGATTCACGAAATTCTCGTTCTTCGCAAAATGAGGATTCACATCTTGAAACATGATGAAGTTGGTAATGCCGCGCAGCATTCTTTCCGGATCATACACCAGAACATCATTAGAACAAACTTCTTCCTCGTAATCCCCTTCCTCATCAATCTCATCTCCTTCGAATTCATGGTGACTGGAATCATCTTCTGCTACAAAATTACAAGAACACAATCATTTGCCAGCCATATTGTTACAGAAGAGCGGAATCTAAAGTGTCATTTCAGTCTGCCATCATATTATTACAGTATTCGACCAAACAAAGACCCAAATTCAGATAAAAACCTATGAGATGAAAGATTCAACCCGATGATAATCCAAAAACTTCAAAAAAAAAATCCCAAAAACAATAGACTGGAAGATAATTACCACTCAAAAATAACAACAAAATTTACCGGAAAGGTAAAATAAGTCAATGGAAAAAAGATTTCGGGAGAGGGAGAGTTGGGTACCATCGCGGGTTCGGCCATCATCATCGGTGCCCTCTGTTCTTCTACAACGCTTCATTGCCATTTGCCACTGAGTAAAAAAAAAGAGTTCAAGTTCTAGGGTTTAACTATGTGCTCCGTAAATCTTACAGTACTTCTTACGGATGGATTGAGTTCAAGTTCTAGGGTTTAACTATGTCCCCCACCCTTCTCCACCACCCATTTTTATTTACTTTTTATTTATTTAATTTTTTTAGAGATATGCTAGGGGTACACCTTTAGTGTACCCCAAATGTACATCACCTTTCTCTTTACCATTCATTTTATTTTGTTTTTAATTTTTATTTTTTTTTTAATTTTTCTTGCTTTTTTTCGTGGTGATGGAGGGGGTGGGGATATTTTTAATTGCACCTACGTCAAATTTTGAATTTAAAGTCAAAATTTTTGACTTTATACTTGCGAGGTGCAATTGACGTAGGTGGGGGAGTAGTTTGGGTCGAGACTTGGCGGGGGGTTTACCGGGGGTAGGAATCATCGATTTCATAAACGGAGCTCCGTAGGGGGGCAGTGGCTTCCGTAGCCACTGGATTCCAGTGGCTCTAGAACCGGCCTCTTCTCGATATTAACTTCTCAGTACCTATTTGGAAATAACGTTAGCTATTAACATTAGCGTTTTGAAAAAGTTATCTAAATGCAACATTTAGTGTTAGCGTTTTCATAGTAACTTACACCGTTAAAATTTTATCCAAAACGTTAACGCTAATCTCTAACGCTATTTTGTTATGGATAGTGAAGTATGATATTTAGTATTATTATTATGGTTATTATTATTATTATTATTATTATTATTATTATTATTATTATTATTGTAATTTAGGTTTTGTTAGGTGAGCGAAATTATAAGCTTCTTCAAGGTTTCTTTACGGTTCTTTCCCTCGTCGCTTTTATTGAACCGTCAGGTTAGGTTTATGGTTAGCTAGGGTTTCCTTATCTCATATAAATAGAGATGTAACCTCATTTAGAAAATTAATCAAAAAACAAATCAAAATCTCAATTCCTTCTCCCTTCTCGGTTCGCCGATTCCCTCTTCGCCTCAATTCTTCTTCTTCCTCCTCCCATATTCTCAAGAGCTCGAAGAAGCTCTGAGTCTTCCATATCCTATAATTGGTGCTTTCATTGACAGGAACTCCAAAAAAACAACTTTTTTTCTTTAGATCTGATCCGTCGGCGGCAAGGATATTTGCTCCAGCATATTTGCTCCTTGAAGATTTACTTCAGATTCAATAAAAGGCCGTAGGAAATCATAGGAATTGAAGAAGAAATTCTGACAAAATCTCAAAAAAGAAGACGAAGAAGAAGCAACTGATCGCCGGCCTGCTGCAATTTGCTTTCTCCATCGCGCGACTTAGTTTTGTTCGTTGTTGCAATTTAGCTTTTGGAAGTGACCGCAGCAAATTAGGTAAAGTGAATTGCTTTTGCCGTGGAGGATGACTTTTTAAGCAAATTCATCAAATTGTGCTTAGTGTATTCATTCATAGTCTTGGGCTTTCCGTATTTGTTCTATCANCTGATCTTTGGATAATTAATTATGATCAAAGATGGTGCTACAACCCCCTCTCTTGATACACTCATGGTTGATAATCTCTTCAATTTAGTGGAGATTGTTTTACGCGGAAAAATTGATTTTGATGAAGGAGTGTGTTTAGTATATGCTCAACATGATGAAATTATTAAGACGCTCCTATCATTTGCTAATACTGAGGGTCAATTAAATTATGCCTCCGACCTATCTGTGTTTGATGTGGACATCTCATGTTCAATATAGGATTTGTTTCGTGGTTCTCCGATTGTGCCAAGTCAAATTCTTTTCGAGTTACAAAATTTTAGATCGCACGTGTTGGGCGCGCTAAAGAATCTCATCAGCGCTCCGCTTTCTCCACCAAGTCAAGTCGCTACAATACTGATAAATTGTGGGGGCACATTGGTCCAAATGGAGGAAGATGTCATCCCGCCCTAGTGTTGGCTCTAGAAGACACAGACGGATCAAAGGAAGCCAACATCAAATCTCATGCCTGGGATCCCAATGATGGCGAGTCTAAAGTCATGAAAACATTTGACCTTGGTTCCAATTCCATAAACAGGTATGATGGTGCTAATGGTGGGGACGCTAAGTCAGCTTGTGAGCTTGATATTACATCTTGTGATTCTTCTGCACCACTCGCTTCATTAGGTGTTGTAGACATTTCAACAAATCAAGCTTTGAGTGCCAACCATCAACCCTTTGTTTTGGTTTTGTCTCACCCAATCACGCTGTGTCACCATTCTGATATCCTCCACAAAGAGCATCTGATTTCAGTGCGGGCAACAAGACTCGTGCATGGCTCTATCTCATATTCCTCCCATCACATTCTAAGAAGCATGTTGGTTGAAAGTTAGCCAAGAAGTGGATTTCTTCTTTGGTTCTGCACCCTCTCTCCGGTCCAAAAGCACGAATGGGAGCCTCCACCTTGAGGACAAGGTGGTTTTCTAAGGGGGTGAGAGTGTTATGGATAGTGAAGTATGATATTTAGTATTATTATTATGGTTATTATTATTATTATTATTATTATTGTTGTTGTTGTTGTTGTAATTTAGGTTTTATTAGGTGAGCGAAATTATAAGCTCCTTCGAGGTTTCTTTACGGTTCTTTCCCTCGTCGCTTTTATTGAACCGTCAGGTTAGGTTTATGGTTAGCTAGGGTTTCCTTATCTCCTATAAATAGGGATGTAACCTCATTTAGAAAATCAATCAAAAAACAAATCAAAACCCTAATTCCTTCTCCCCTCTCGGTTCGCCGATTCCCTTTTCGCCTCAATTCTTCTTCTTCCTCCTCGTCCCATATTCTCAAGAGCTCGAAGACGCTCTGAGTCTTCCCTATCCGATACGAGTTCGTATCATATTTCCAAACAGGCCCTCAGTGTATGTTAACGTTTTACTCTTTAAATTATTATTTAATGCTGACATGCTGTAAATTAAATTTAACAACACTAAATTAAATAATATTGTTAAATAATCTTTTAAAAATATTGAAAATAAACATTTAAGTTGTTGTCAAATAGACTTTTGGAGAAGCTTCAATCTCAGCACCCGTCGGGATAATGAAGATAAGGCGGTTCAAATTGAGAGTCGTGATGCACTCTCAGATTGATTATTTTGAGTGTTCAATAAAAAAAATCAATCACATAAAACTCAAATTTATGACAAGAACTGATATGAATTTTCAAACTGTATATTTTTTGACCAAATCTTCGCTGGGATTTATAGAAGCGGGGAAGGAGTAACATGCAGTCGCGACTTTTTTCTCAAACTTTTTGTTTATTCGCGCAAAACCAATCGAGTTTAGTCGCGCTAAACAAGACATAAGAGACGCGATTTTTCGGGAAAATTAATATACATAAATTTTGAAAATTAAAAATTCAAGTAAATTTTTAACACCACACTTTGTCCAAAATATAAAATTTTTGACGCCACCAGGGGCTCTGCCTCATGGATCCTGCAGGGGTTGTCGCCCCTTGAACCCTGCTCGGGGGCGCTGTCCCCTTGGAACCACTGTTATCATACCAAACTCAACAAAGCGTGCATCCCGCACCACCAAACTTCTTTGATGATTATAAATTATAATGATAACATTAGTCAAAGAGTTTTTCCGATTATACTAAAAAAACAGAAATACAGAATCTACCCTTTACACTTTCTAAATCAGAATCTCTCTACACCACCCATTGGTATAGTTTGCGATTCCTCTCGCCCTTTCTGTTCTTTTTCTTTTTCGTTAATAATTTTAAATAAAGTAAATATATTCCGTACTGAACAAAATAATACAATTACGCATTGGATTAAACATTTTTTTTATCAAAATTAATTTTCTATTAATTTATAAATACAATCACCATAATTGTGGCTCTCCCAATGAGATATCAGAAGTTTGGATCCTAGTAAAGTTATTAAATATTTATGCTTCATTAGCTATGTACAGATACTAAAAATATATACTCCATATGAAATAAAAATAATTGTTAGTAGTTCGGATTATGAAATAAAAATAATTGTTAGTAGTTCGGATTGTTGTTTCGGTTCGAAATAATTGTTGAGTCTCATTTTAAGTGTAACTACGTATGAAAAGAAAGAGACTTCAACCAAAGAAAAGGACTCTCAATTCACCTAATGGAGTGTCTCATTTTAGAGTCCACTTGTAGTATACTCCGGGATAAAATTTATTTTGTAGTCTAATTCATAATATCCAAAATTTAATTTTAGGAATATTAGAGTAATGCTGAATCTGTCACATTACATATGCTGAATCTGTCACATTTTATCCCTCCAATACACGGAGTAATTTTTTGGAGGTAACAATATTTTGCGTATCAGTAAAAACAATATTTATCGTCAAATGATAAGTAAAAACCAGCACTCGGGCCTCTATATGGACTGCACAATCATTTGATGTGTTCCGTAGCAAGTTTAACAAAGCAATATTTTAAGTAATTAAATTTATTTTCATGTGTCGGTAAAAACAGGCCAAACAACATCTTGAACCTAAAAGAGAATACAGCCTCAAATTAATACGAGTATAATAAAGCCTCAAATAGCACTCAACTCAACAAACAAAACGTTCCCAATAATAATAATAACAATAAAAATAATAATAATAATAATACAAACAACAACAATAAAAAGTCAAAACACAAAAGATCAAGGGCAAATATGAGAAAAAGAGCTACCACCAATGAGGATCATCAAGACGAAGAGCAGCAAGGTTTTTTGATGTTGCCATCTTGTTGTGAGCTAACATCAAGGGTCTTCCCTCCTTTGATATTCGCACCTACGGATGGCTCCTCCGAAGATAGAGACTTCTTACTAATCGTCCGATAGATCTCCGAGAGAATGGTCAAGAACGCCTTCTCCACATTAGTTGCCTCCAGAGCAGACGTTTCGATGAAAGAGAGCCCTTCCCTTTCGGCGTAGCTTTGGGCATCCTCTGTGGCAACTGCACGGAGATGGCCCAGGTCGTTCTTGTTCCCAATAAGTGTGATCACTATGTTTGAATCCGCGTGGTCTCTGAGTTCCTTCAGCCAACGGCTCACATTCTCAAAGGTTGTTGGCTTTGTCACGTCGTACACTAATAGAGCCCCGAGTGCACCCCTGTAATACGCACTGGTTATGGCGCGATATCTCTCCTGCCCAGCAGTGTCCCATATCTGAGCCTTTACCGTTCTTCCCTCAACCTAAAACAAAACACTCTTTAATCGAGTTGGGAAACATTTATATAAAGAGATCAAATGCCTAATTACAAACTAAAAACAAGGGCAACAAACAGTAGACTGACCAACTACTTGAACCATCTTATGAACAGTTATATCGAGATTCTTGACAATCAATCATATTTGGGACATATATTTGAGATTCTTAAAAAGACTGATGGAATAAACTCCATAAATTAATTCATTTTCATAATAGTGTATAATATTTCAATCTAAATTTATTCATTTTCTTAAAACATTGTATATTTCAAAATTTAGAGCCTTCCAAAATCTTCCTTTCCAAAAGCTTTCAATTCTTCATCTAAAATGAGACAATGAGCCTCAGTGATTAATAATAGGCACGGGCAGTGTGATGTAGTGATGTACTTTCTTTTCTGTTGGTGTTTAACACAATTAGGTATTCATGATTTCATGGTGCAGCATTTGCAAAGCATAGTTATTAATGGTGCTCGCCATTTGCGCTTATGACGCCTATGGCGCAGAGGCGTGCAGTTCCCCCCTAATTGACTTTGGTGTGGCGTTTTACGCATGGCGCACCAGAGGCGGTCGCCATTTACGCTTCTTTTTCTGGCGATAAGCGAACGCCAACTACGCTTTTCGTGTGGTCAACAAAATTGCGATATGAATTCTACAATTCAAGCATTGTGTAGTTATCTGAATCGCGAGGAAGATCGGAAAATTCCGGATCGGGAAGTTCCGACAATCCTGAGATCGTATAGGCTCGCGATCGACGGAAAAGACTTTAGGTCAAGTCTGCAACCCTTTGGTTTTGACGGAAACCTCTGCGACAAGTCTACGCTGCTTTCCCCTTTCGCTTTTATATCACTTTAAAATTACGGACTATGTTTTACGGAGTTGTGTGATTATATAAATAAACATACTCCCTACTCCCGTATGTGTTCTGCTTGGTAGTAGAATGGTAGTCCACTCTTTCCATATAATCTCTCTAAAACACTCTTTTGTCATTTTAAATTTTGGTGAACTTTGCACATTTTCACTATGAATACATTTCTGTATAATTTCACATGCTAGTAAATTTCTACACACACACACACAGATATGTGTGTGTGTGTGTCTACCCACACATACACACATGTTTGCCATTTGACCGCCCGCCTCTCGCCACGCCTTTCGCCATAAAAAAGGTCCTCTCGCCCGCCCCTCTCTACTTGGCATTAATAACTATGTTGCAAAGTTGAGCCAGAGAAATGCTCAACTCCAGCCAACCAATCAACTCTGTAGTTGAGAGAAGAGGGGTATTGACGTACCCATGCAGACACCAAAGCAAACCTGGCCTAAATATCTCACCAATGAGGCCTCGTGCAGTTTGTTCTTGTATTTGGTATACCCGTAACACTTGTTTGGATACAGAAAGTCAGGAATTGATTCCCCAAATCTAATCCCTAAACCCTCTCAAACACATTCACCCATAGCTCTCTGGTTTGGAGGCCATTTCATTTTTTTAAGAGTCCCCCCGGCTTCCCCTTAGTTTAAATTCTATTTTTCCAGTTCTATTGCCGGACAATGGAGATAAAGTGAAGTGACAAATATGGGCGAAAGTATGAAACTAAAATCTTAACTTGATTCATGAATTCTAAGAAAACACCCAGATGCCCTAAGACCGGATAAGGAGCTACTGCAATTCCTAACACTCTTTGGATAAAGGAATATAAAGATACACATTACTTGATGAGTTGACGCGAATGAGATGAATGTAGAGATACACATTACTTGAAATGCAAGGATGAAGGAATATATAATGAGTGTAACCAAAAGATCATCAACAATACCCATGTAAGACAAATTCCTTATAAAACTTAAGCAAGCAGCTTGACTGCTTGAGACTTGTAATAAACAACCAAACCGAGTTGTTTTCCCAACCGATTCATGGTTAGGAATCCCTAATTACGTGCCACTAAACATAGATCAATCTCCGATCAGAAAACCATTACTGGATGCTTCTACAGAGTACATCTAAGTTAATGATAAAATACAAGATCCAGCAGGAACAGTACACGTCAAAACGACATTCACAGATCATAACTACGGATCATCAAAACCCTAGGAAAAACACATCGATGCATACAACCAGATGGTCGGAGCGCTGCAATTCACGGATCTAAGAAGAGTAAACAACAGTAAACCTAAATCGAGCGGGAAATGCACGGAATCGCAACAACTCCTAGTTGAAATTGAAGTGAAATGCGGTGGAAAATGACCAGAGAAGAAGAAGAAGAAGGACCTGAAGAGTACGGGTGGCGAATTCAACGCCGATGGTTGACTTGGACTCGAGGCAGAACTCGTTTCTGGTGAATCGGGAGAGCAGGTTGGATTTGCCGACTCCGGAATCTCCGATCAACACAACCTTGAATAAATAATCGTACTCTTCGTCCGGTCTCCTCGCCATTTCCCTCGCCTCTTTCTTCCTCCTTCCTTCCCCTCGAGATTGATGGATGAAGTTTTGTTGAAATTTGAGAGAAAATATTCGCGCATCTATCTACTTGGCATCCCTCTCCATAAATATCTTTGTTGAAATTAGTCCAAAAGAGAAAAAAATAAATACTCCTTACACTATAAAGTTCCTTTTTTCTTAAAGAAAAATAGGAGATTCAACAAAAATATATTTTTAAATTTTAAGTGATGAGCCATATCCCCGAAAGCCCCCTCAGACCCGGAAAAATTTTACCAATCCGTTATTGATCCAAAATCTGATCCGAAATTAGTAAGTTTTGAACACAGAAAATGGCTGCCACAGTGCCAAGTACCATCGATTTTGTGATAAGAATTTACATGTCCCATCTTTTTTAAAAAATATACTCCGAGGTACCGTAAAAAAAATAATAGGAGAGAAGAGAGCTAAAAAAAGCAACAAATAAGGGGGGTGGGCGATGTGGCTGATTACACGATAAAGAAATGCTCCCTCCGTTTAAAAATTATGTTCTCGTTTACTATTTACAAGGTCAAATTTTGTTCCATTTGTTCGTCTATATTTTATGCACATTTGATAAAATTAAATAGTTATGTCACTTCTAATTTTATAGACCTTTTGATATAGTTTGAGGATACATTTTTTATTTTTTAAATTTACATCATTTTTCATATAAAATAATATAAAAACAACTTCAATCAAACATCCGTGCAATAAAAAGATTATTATTAAAAAGAGAAAGTATAAAATATACTTCGTATTAAAAGTGTAAAATTAGGAGGGCGTGGTTGGACTTGAACATGAGAGCAGTGGGTATACTCCTCACGCCCACCGGCGTTACGGGGCGCTTAACGCCCCGGAGGCGTTAAACACCGGCCCCCGCCGGCGTTAACGGGGCGTGAAGAGGCGTGCGTCAAACGAATGACGCTGCGTCATTCCTCTCCCCCTCCCCTTAACGGCTATTATAGCCGTTGGACCCCCAAAAAATTCTTATAAATTCAAACCCCCCTCCCAATCTCTCACACCTTCTCCATCTTCAATCTCTTCTTCTTCCCAATTTTTAAAATTTGAAATCACCCCTTCTCTTTTCAACATGAATCCATCCGGCTCCGGCTTCTTTCCCGACGATCTCCCTCCGAGCGATGCCGCGATGTGGTTGTACCAACATTGGGGCGATCGACCGCCGATCTACGAGACGCAACAATCGGGGTACGTCGAACGAGATTCGGTTCCGGAGACTCAACCGGAATCGTCCGGGTCGAAAAAAAGTACACGCCGGAAAAGCCACAAAGCCAAAAGCACGATGACCGAGGCGACACTGTCAATCCAAAAGTGGACGCCGGAGGAGGAGTGCATATTGGCGTTGGCTTGAGTTGACGTCCCCGACCCCGGGACGTTGTCGGAGATTGGACGAATGCTTTACGAGTAAAGAATAAAAGAGATCAAGAAGAAATGTAATTTTCCTTAGTTTTTTTAATTAATGTATCTTTTTTTATTATTGTTGCTTTTTTTATTTAAAGAATGTATTTTTTTATTCGTGTTTCAAAATAATTAAATAATGAATTAATTACATTTTATTAATTTAATTTTAGAAGATGTATATTTTAAAATGTAAAAAGGAAAATGGATGCTTAGAGTAGATGTTCAAAGAAAAAAAGAAGTAAGAGATGCTCAATAGAGCACTGGGTGCTAGGCTAGCATTCAAAATTACGTGTGCATTCTTTTTTTTTGTAAAATAAGTCTTTTTTTAATAATACATTCTCTTTTCAATATTTTTTTCTTTTTATTTCTTTAACGTGTAGTGATGCTACAATTCTATACCATTATTGTGTCTCTTTTTTTTGGAAAAGAATCTTTACAATTTTTTTAAACAAACCATTTTCGCAAATTTTTTTTCTTTTCATTTTTTTAACTTGTTGTGATACCATGAAAAATTTGTTTGAAGTTGTGTTTAATTTGATTGAGTTTGATCTTCACAAAAAATTGAATAAATAAATAAATACTCTATAAAAATATGACACCCTATTTTGTTTTTAGTAATACCAACATGTCTTCAATTTTTTTAATCAAAACATTTAGCAAAAAAAGTCATTAATAATATTTTTAATTATTTATATTTTTTTCGAAAAAAATTAGTTTAATTAAAAATTTATTACTCCATATTTAACACTCCTATATATAACATAAAAATTTAAAATTTAAAAAAATAATAAAAATTATTGTTGTATGTGAGTAGGATTCGCCTAAGGCATCTCAACGAGGTGTCACCATTAAAACATTTAAATGTTCAAAGAGATGCCACAATAATATTTTTAAAGTAGAGCCCACACTTGAGCATCTAATGAGAGGTGTTACCACTGTGGATGCTGAGCGGAGATGCTCTTATTGTACTCCGTAATAAATTTAGCATATTTGATGACTTTATACATCATTTTTTTCCAAAATTAATTGCATCAAACTTTAACTTATGTCTAAAAATCTCCAAAACACAAAATAGAAAAAGTAAACAATGTCTCTGTATATTACTCCCCCTGTCCCCCTAAGATCTTCTCGTTTTGACTTTTTGTAGTTTTTAAAGAGAGTTGAAAAAGTTGAAAGTTTACTAAAATACCCTTAATGAAAATGGATGGGATGTATTAAATAAGATGGAAAAGGTGTAATAAATAAAGTAAGGGTAGTTGTGGTATTTTAAATGTTAAAAAAGCTAACAAGAAGATCTATATGACAAATAAAAAGGACTAATGAGAAGATATATGTGTACGGACAACAGTAAATTAAGTTGGCAATTCACTTGTGGGTACACATGCATTCTCACACAAGTAAATTAATGGTTATGTCTAATGTAATTCTTTATCACTAATAAAATAATAAATTTATGTTATATTGGATGCCACACTTTGAATAATGTGTAAAATCTAATTATTTTAAAAATCATTTTAATAACAAATCATTAAGGAAATAAAAATTATAGCAGTGGGGTTTTCAATTTTTTTTATTACGTTTATCTACAAAAAGAAGATCAAGAAACTAAAAAATGTTCATGAGATCAATCCATGGCGTTAGCTGGTGCTGCGGCCTTTCTTCCAAAAAATCCACCCACAGTTTCCAAATCCCGATCCTCCGGCAGCAACCGACGGCGGAGGTATATTCTTTCGCCACGAAATTCATCCACCGGACTTAGCGATGGCCGTCGCCCCACCTCCAAGCAACCCTCGCCTGGTAACGCAGTAATACTGTCACTTTCCATTATGGTTCGCGAACAGAGATGATTACACATCGCAATGTTACTTACAGACTAGTGAAAATATGCTGATTTGAAATCGAGCCATTGAGGGATTTATAAAGAATTGGATCAGATTTGTTAGTCAATTGAATTACTGTGGTTGACAAATAGGGACCCAATTATGAATCCTTCTCAACAATGTAAGGCATTGGGCTATTCCTCCAATACGTTTGGCTGACTTTTAGGATGATTTCTAAAGTTATGTTATTAGACCATACACTCAAATTCGACTAGGATGGAAACCCAATTCTTGACATAGTTGTTGGGAAATTGTTGGTTGGAGTCCTTCAAAATAAACTTTAGATAAACGGGAAGCTCGAGATGTATCGGAACTCAAAACACTGTCCTCTAGGAACTATTTCCACCGGTTGGCCAGAAATTCCCCTAAAGATATAAAAACAAGCTATTCTACGATGCTTATTGGAATCAGAACTAATGGGATAGAATATATGAATATATTTATAGACTCAGCAGAAAAGAGAAGATTGTTCGTGTTTAAATAATGAAACTATAAGTCATCCTTCAGAAGAGATGCATGAAGCATATAAATATTCAAAACAAGAGAAATATTGCTAACGATCAACTGGCTGATCCGAAAAACTAGCCGATATCAATGGAGAGCCATATGATTTGAGGAGACATGATCAAAGATAACAACAAAGAAAAAAAATTAATTTAAACAAATAGAAGGATAAAGAATGAGTTAAAAGGAGGGAAAAAAGGACTCATGTTAATTCCATATATTCCAACAGTAGTAAGCAGTATAAGCACAAATAGAGTTATCAGTTATGTACTCCGTGCGTATCTATAATTTTTATATCATATCTGAATGAGTTTTACATGTTGACATCATCTAGTATGATTTAGATTATATATCCTTTTTCTTAATGTGGGTTGCAGAATTATGATGTGCAGGCATGGAAGAAGCAGATGTTGTAGTTATTGGGAGTGGTATAGGTGGCTTATGTTGTGCAGGGCTTCTTGCTAGATACCAACATGATGTTTTGGTACTTGAAAGCCACAATATACCCGGGGGTGCTGCTCATTCGTTTGATATTAAAGGATTTAAATTTGATTCCGGGCCCTCTTTATTTTCTGGCTTTCGTTCAAGGGGTCCCCAGGCCAATCCTTTGACACAAGTAACCTTTCAAATTTATCATTAATTAAAATATATGAAATTTGTTTGACATTTTTTTAATAACTGAACTTAAGGTTTGGGTGATTGCAGGTACTTGATGCTTTGGGTGAATCGGTTCCTTGTGCAAATTATGATTCATGGATGGTGCACATTCCTGAAGGTGATTTTTTGTCTCACATTGGGCCAACAGAGTTCTTTAAGGTTGACATCTAGCTTCCCGTTTCTGTAATCATACATCTTTTGATTTATATATAATTCATTACGTATCCATAGTCGCCACACATCAAAGTATCAAACAATCATAAAAATACAAACCAACACACTTTGTTATTCCTACTATCTTGTGGAACTTTATGATTGCAAACCAAGTCTTAATACGTTGGATATTATTTCGGCGCCTGCCTATAAGATGCCAGCCATCATCTTGCCACATGTTTTATTTTATATTTAATGCCGCAGAATCCATTTTGTTTTTTCATTGCTTCTACGGCATTAAAGTGAGAATATGAAGTCATAAATTGAAGAGGTTCCATAAGAAACAAAACGTTGTGTTGCTGTATTAAGCCACTGAGCATTGAAAAAATGAACTCTGTAATGATAGTGTATGTTATCCGTTAGCCTTTAAGCATCATCATTTATGAAGTTTTTGGTTTTCCCCAGCTTATCAAATGGTTAAGTCTGAATTTTCAACTTTATATGTTTGCTCGCCAGGATCTAGAAAATTATGCAGGTCCTGATTCCGTGAGAGAATGGAAAAGACTTCTCGTGAGTTCCACACTTTCTCTATCATTATCAATCTTGTCTGCTTATAGAGTATGCTTGCATCTAGGAAAATTCTAGGGAAAGGAAAGAACTTATGAATGTAAGTTCTTCTATTTTGTTTGGTTTTACACTTAAAGCAAATAGTACCAAAGGAAATAAATGTTGTTGTGTAGGCTTAGATATATTGGCCTTTGTATGAGAGAAATAAAATGAGTTTGAATAAAGATCTAGAATAGGTTTTTGAGTTAAAAATTTTAAATATATCTTTTATTTCCCTCAAATTTTATTTATTTATAATTTTCTGCTAGATTTTCATTTTCTATTACCTATCACTTTTCTTGGGATCCAAACGCACCCTCAAGGTCAATTGGGAACTCACAAAATGATGGGGGGAAGAAACTAGGGAAGATAATATGAGGTAAATTTTGGAAGGAAATTAAAGACGAGGAAGATAAAACATTGATTCAAACTCAATGTTTCAATTTTTATATTTGCTCAACTCATTGTATTTATTTGGTTGTATTACATTAAGAATAACAGACGTAAGCATATGCAAGGTTTTCAAACTAATTAAACTGTTTTTCATTTTCCTTTGTATGTTTGAAGTAACGTAAGAAAATAATTTTCCTAGCATTTTTTAGCTCAACCTACCCTTTGTCCCCTTTTAACATCCCTTTAAGGATTTCGTGAACTTCTTGATTCTATGAATGGTTCTTGTCAAATCCACATTTTCTTTCTGTGCATTGATCCTGGTTTTCTAGGCCTTGAGAAATTTATTTGCTGTTATTGTATTCTCCCAAGGATGCAGTTCTTCCAATGTCAGCTTTGGCTATGGCTATCCCTCCTCTGGCTATCAGAGGTGACTTGGGCGTTCTTTCCACTGCTGGTGCTAGATATGCACCTTCTCTTCTGAAATCTTTTGCTCAGATGGGACCTCGTGAGGCCCTTGGTGCTACAAAGCTTCTTGGACCCTTCTCGAAAATTATCGATTCGTTAGGGTTAAAAGATCCTTTTATAAAGAACTGGCTTGATCTTCTCTCTTTCTTGCTTGCTGGAGTAAAAACTAATGGCATACTCTCTGCAGAGATGGTAACTTTGGTGTCCTTAAACTCTCTTATTTTAGATTAAGGACCTGTCTTAATGCTTGCAATGTTTTATGATTCTATGCTAAATAATTAATAGAGGAATGCTATGTGAATTCTCACTTTGAGAGTGCAAATTGCACTTCCCTGCTCCCGCAATATTATGTTGTGCCATGTATATAGTTGTAAACGAAAAAACCATAAAGAAGAATCACTTAACACGTGGCTGAATATTATTGGGGGCCAATTCGCACTCTCAGGGTGGCTGTGCACATAACATTCCTCACACTAAAAAATCACAGTAGCATTTTGCCTTGGATGCGTTACATTGTTTAATAACTTTGGAACCCTAATATTTTTTTGCTAATGTTAAAGAACATTCATTTTTACTCAATTTTTTGAGCAACTCACTTCTTGCTAGCTAATAATGGGAAAAGTGTTTCCGTAATTTATCTAGGATAATGTAAAAGAGCTTTTGATTGAGTTCGTGATGGGTTAAGTCATTGAAGTAGGATAATGTAAAAGAGCTTTTGATTGAGTTCGTAAAACAACTCAAATCACACTAAAGCTTGAATCTAATGAACGAACTAGTCTACAAAAAATAATAATCAATGAGCTAATTGAACCCAAGGCCCTCTATATTCAAATCTTAGATTCTTTAACTGCTTTGCTTGAGAATGGTGGATCAGTTAAAAAGCATTTCTAACTAATATATTTGGTTGTATGCTATATTGTCAATCCATTAACACTTAACGCAGAAGTAAAATAACGTGTTCTCCTATCATAATAGGTTTATATGTTGTCAGAATGGTACAAGCCAGGTTGCACACTAGAGTATCCTCTCCAGGGAAGCGGAGCTATAGTTGACGCCCTTGTACGAGGATTGCTGAAGTTTGGTGGGCGGATTTCTCTTAAACGCCATGTAGAAAATATTGTTGTTGACAATGGTCGAGCCACAGGAGTGAAACTAAGAAGTGGCCAGGTGAGTAATAAATACTATGAATATGAAGACAGTGGTAGTTTATGTAAAATTGATCTGTCAAGTCATCAAGTGTGTATTGGCATCCGATGATGATGAGATTATATTCCTGCAGTTTGTCTGTGCTAAAAAAGCTGTTGTCAGCAATGCATCTATGTGGGACACTCTAAACTTATTACCACAGGATGTCGTTCCAAAAATGGTTCAGGACCGGATAAAAAACACCCCACAATGTGAATCATTTATGCATCTGCATCTGGGCTTCAATGCAGAGGTGAGATACATGCTCACATTGCCTTTTTTTAAGTGTCTTGATTTTGTATTACCATGTACTTTCGTCCCCCAGAAAAGAGGTCTGTTTGAGAAAGGTTTAACATTTATTTTTAGTCACCTCAATCAAGGCACAAGCTTTTACAAATTATAAATGGTAATTTATACCACTAAAATTTATTTTGAAGTTTTTGTGGTGTAATCGATTAAAGGGGATTTCCTTGTGTACACCAAGCTTGTCACCTCAGTCAAGGCACAAGCTTTTACATGTTATAAATGGTTATTAATACCACTAAAATTTATTTTCAAGTTTTTGTGGTGTAATCGATTAAAGGGGATTTCCTTGTGTGCACCAAGCATGACCCTTGACTAAAACCGCTTTACAAGAATAAAAGTTGATTTTTAAAACTTATTTTTCTCAGGGTACAGTTAATTCTTAAAAGGGCTGTGCTTTTTTTTTGGGAGAGGGAGTACCAAATACTCCGTACTGATAAAGCCAATTTCACCTTACACGGCCTGTTATCAAAATTATCAAATTCATCTTAATTAATACTCCGTATTTTATTACATAAAATCTGGCTGATCAGGGAATGCGTGATGACCTGGGGATCCATCACATAGTTGTAAATGACTGGGAGAGAGGAGTTGATGCAGATCAAAATGTGGTTCTGATATCAATACCGAGTGCGCTTAGTGCTGATCTTGCTCCACCGGGGAAACACGTCTTGCATGCCTATACACCTGGAACCGAGCCTTATGAAATTTGGGAAGGACTTGATCACAACAGCAATGAATACAAAAACCTCAAGGCTGAACGATCCGAGGTATATTAGGACTTTCTCTTTTCAATGTTAGCTCGAATTATTACCGGATAGGTGTTCCATCCCAATGAATACAAAAACCTCAAGGCTGAACACCTTTGCCTTAGGACATATAATGCATAGTACTACTACTCCTATCCGTTTAACATTTTGGGATGGAACACCAAGTCTTAGTATGAATAGTAACATCTATTTCTAGGAAACAATCTATCTCCACGTGATTCTTGTCTTGTTTGGGAATAGAATAACGTTTCCAATCAGCATCAACATTTTGGATAATTTTTGAATGGTGCAGATTAACTTTGGAATCGTTAAAGCTAAACGTCACTAACTCACTATCATATACGGAGTAGCATTTTCCAAATGCTGAAACTAAACGATGAAGCTATTTCCAAACAGACACTATGCCTATATTTTTTGTTCTCTTACCTAGCAAAGTACACGATCAGATGTTTGGTCGTGTGAACAGGTAATGTGGAAAGCAGTGGAGAGAGTGCTCGGCCCAGGTTTCAGTCGTGACAAATGTGATGTAAAGTTGGTTGGAACCCCACTAACACACGAAAGATTCCTGAGGAGGAACAGAGGAACTTATGGGCCTGCCATATTGGCTGGCGGTAAAGACTCCGCATTCTTTGGGCATTCAACACCAATCCGAAAGCTTCACTGCTGTGGAGACTCCACCTTCCCAGGCATTGGAGTCCCTGCAGTTGCTGCTAGTGGTGCAATTGTTGCAAATTCACTGGTTTCTCTGTCTCAGCACACCCAACTCCTTGACGCCTTGGAGGTATGACAACAGACCTTTGTAAGGTAAACATGCGTGCACTAGCTTTCATGGGTTTTCTTTAATTTGAGCTTTCGTTAATGTATTGCACCAAATGCCCTTCTTGTTGCAAAACCTCCATAAGAAGGAATGAAAGGCTGATATGTGCCAGTGTTGTTATTGCAGTGACTTCATTATGAGAAAGGTTTTGTTTGGGAACAACGTTTTCAATTAGCATTAACGTTTTAGATCATATTTTAATTGTGCAAATTAGGTTTCTCGTGTTTTTACTCACCCAAGTTTTTACATCCTACTTTTCAAACCTTTTTTTACAAACTCACATTTTCTCTACCCATCCAACATTTTTATGCCCACTCTACTAAAATTTAAGGGCAAAATGTGAAGTTCAAACCATAACATTATCTCGCTTAAAACACTGTTATTTGTGAAGTGAAACCATGAGTATTATTTCAGAAAGGAGTTCAATTTTTGGCAAAATTTTAGGGCATAACATAAATCTTTGGTTTTATTTTGAACTATAGGATGAAAAGGGTTGTGCACTTGTGGGCCGTGGCAGGACCATTGTCAGTACGTGGGGACTGATCTGTATGAACTGTGGTACTTAGCCTAGAACAGACACAAGTTTTAATGCAGATTAGATTGGACTTGCCGTCCTATTATCTTGTTCTGAGTCCTAGCCCCGGGCCATACCTATATCGCCCACTTGTTGGCCCAAATTGACCAAGGGCCTCTTTGGTCGAGTTCTTACTTCAAATGACTTTTTGAGAACTTTTGAACATGGGTTCCCAAGACATGGAGTTCCATGTCATGGGATGACCCAAGGCCGTTGTGGTGTCCCGTTCGTAAAATTGATGGTTCCTACTCACCTAACCTCCCAGTAAATTCCACACTCCGCTCTGGCCTGAACACACTCTCCCACCATCTTCAATTGCACCCCCTTCATAGTGTTTTTGTGCTAGTTGTTGATGCTCCCTCCAAGCTAAAATTATCATTACATGTACTATTGTGATCTCCCGATAATTTTTGTCTGTTTTCATTTTTTCGTTGGTCATATGATAATATAAACTATCCTTATCATCTCTTGTTTTATAAAATCTTTAATGTAATTTTTTAAATATGTAATTGTTCGTTTTATTTCTATTCTATTCTAATTTATAAATAAAATAGTTTATGGTATGTTTGAGAATATGAATTTGGATTTCAAATCCGGATTTGGCTCAAATTCCATGTTTGAGAAATTTAAAAATTTGAATTTGGATTTGAGTCAAATTCTTCTCATTCATAACAAAGCTTAATTTGAAATTCATGCACCTCTCCTTGTCATTTGAAATTCAAGATTTCAAATTTTGGAATTGAAATGCATGAATTAAAATGAAATACTAGTTGCCAAACACTACCTTAAATTTTTGCATGATGTGCAATAGTTTTGGAACGGAGCATTAAAAAATGGAGGAGCTTGAACACAAAAATGCTACTGACCATTTTGACCTCAAAAATTACATAGACAGTAAAAATCTATTTAGTGTCACGACCGGCTGAAAGAGGTAAAAATGGGGGGTGGGAGTGTGAACATTTGAACTGAAAAGTGATAAAAAAAAGTCAAAATGGTAGGTGGTCCAGACATTGTCCCATGAAACAGAGTGATTGATGTTGACCTTAATGGTAAATTCCGTGGCCCATGAAGCGTGGTCCGTTGGCATGATTTTGAGGCGCCACGTGGCAACGCCACATGCTAATCCACCGCACTACTCCGTACAATCCAACCCGTGAAAACACAGTAAACTGGGCCCCCTTCTATTTGAGAGCTCGGACGAAAGCTGTTTGAAAATCATCATGCTAAAAATGGCACTCACTTTGATCCAAGTTAAGTCCATTAATTTAATATTATCTTCATTTCAGTTTTTTTCATATAATTTGACTTTTTTTAGTAAGATTAGATCTGAATTTTGAGCTCAATTAAATAAAGATTACTCCCTATAATGTACTCCCTTCGTCCCACATAGATCTTCTCAATAGCCCTTTTTCTTTATCCATAATAGATCTTTTCATTTCATTTTTTAACAATTAAAATACCATAACTACACTTACTTACTTTATTTATTACACCTCACTCACCTCATTTAATACACTCCACCCATATTTCATTAAGGGTATTATGGTAAACTTTCACCTTTTTTCAACTCTTCTTAAAAACCACCAAGAGTCAAAATGAGAACATCTTAGGGGGACGAATGGAGTATATACTTCAGTTCATTTTCTTTATGATTCCATGTATGTGATAATTTTTGTTCACGTTATGTTTTTTATTAATCATTTAATAAAATAAAATTAGTATGTCATATATAATATTGTTGATTTACTCACTTTGTCTGGATATAATTTTCTTATTTGATATTTGACGAGTAACACTTTAATTATTAATATCAAGATTTACACACACACACATATATATACACTTTATAAAAAGTCAATGTTTCAAAATTACACTTCAAAAGAAAACAATTGATATTAAATTTCTATCAAAATATAATATACTCCCTCCGTTCTTAAAGAAATTTCATCTTTCATTTTTTCTTTGTCTCCAAATAAACTTCTCTTTTCCCTTAAAAACCCTTTTACCCCTTATTTTTTCATACCATACCTATCACATCATACCTTTTTACTAATAATCTACACATCACATCAAGTGTATTTTTGAAAACTCAACACAAAAATATCTCTTTCTTAAATCCTCAAAAAATCAAAAACAGAAGTTTATTTAGAGACGGAATGAGTATATTTTTGTACAAATTGAAGTCAATTTTACAAACTTTGAGCAAGGAATTTGAAATGAAAATATTAAATCCTGTCAGAGGAGTGGTTTTTAAATCCTCTCTTCGTCCCAATTTATACTTCTCATTTGGAAGAACGTGTAAACTCTTATCTCTTTTTAAAAGATTTTATTTACAAATTTGTGTAGATAAAAAAAAATATAAATTACATTGTTCAAAACTACATCAAAAAGTATTAAAAAGGAAGTCAAATAATATTTTGTTTATCAAGTGCTCCATAAAAATATGCATACAAATATAACTTATCGAGAGACTCTAATAGAAATTGAGATAACTTGGGAAGGAAGAAGTATGTAACATGTACTCTTATATTTTATACCATTTTTTAATAAAAATTAGTTTAAAAGAAATAAGATTTTGAGGAAGTATAATATAAAAAATGATTTTATTAAATTTATCCTATTGAGACCTTTTAAAATTTGATTTTGTTTTATTAATGAATATAAGAGTTCTAATAAAAAATAAGCAATAAAAAATTGAAAATAATTAGTTTCGTCCAGTTTGAATAAAAAAATTAAAGTAAATGAATACACTCAGACTAAGCGAGTATGATGTTTTCTTTATCTCATAAAAAACTTTCACGATTGATTTGACATAAAGATTAAAAAAAGTAAAATTGTCTTATTGAAATACATTTTGAATATTATTAAATATATATTTAAATAAATAATCCATATTATACAAATTTGATATATAAAATCACATCTTAAAAGTAGCCCACTCATATTAAACTCTTATTATAGTTATACATTTTTTAATAATTTGTAGTTGAAGTTTGTGAACCTAGACTTATGAAATTAAACTATGACAATTTTCAGGACGCTTTTTAAAGACAGAAGAGACATGAAGTAAATTGCTAATAGGTGGCTATATACTCCTATTATCTCATCACAACCGAGATGCAATAAATTTATACACAAATTTATTTTTAGTGTATATTTAAATTTTTACTTTTCAATTATTTTAAATATTTTTGTTCTCTTGATTAGGTGTACAAATAATAAGATTGTGTACTTTTTAATGCGTGACATGTTAATGTTATTGAAACTCAACTAAAAGAATACAAGGATAAAACGAACATGCCCGAGTCGATAATAGTGTTCAAAGGGGTTGAAACAAAACCCAAACCAGACAGGCGAAATAGTAAAATCCTGATATGGAGGCTAGAGCTCGAATTCAAAACACAAGAAAATAGGCCATACTCAAACATAAACACGAAGTACATAGTAGAAGATAAATACACATGCCAACAAAGATAGTAGGCATGCCAAAACCAAAAGTAGATATTACAAGAAAATATAAGTAGAAAAACAAACGTAAGATTGCGTGTTTTATAGTGTTTACATAACATTCCTCTTGAAAGTAATACTCTACCCTTTCTTATGCTAGAGTAAACTTTATAATTTGACTTTACAACAACAACCATATTATAACATTGCCTCAAATGCTCTTGTGCATTGTTGTGTAAGATGTATTAAATCTTCGCATTCTAACTTTTATGTTTTGAAATAAAATAAATTGACTATTTCTAGATGACTCGTTGATGAACATCAAAAGTATCATTAATAAGTGACACTTCACTATTAAAACACATACTCCGTATAATTTAAGGATCTAATTCATTTTAATTTATCATAGGAAGTCTTTGGGTACAAGAGAGATGATGGAAAAAGTTTATTTCAGAAAGTTTAAAAATAATTAAAACATGAAAAAGTATTGCTTCCATCGCATGATATATTCCTAACTTCTCATTCGAATTGTTCTAAAATAATGAATATTTGGCTCCAACAAAGATGATGTAAATGTAGTTTATCTTTACAGAGTTGAAAAAAATCAGAGCACGAAAAATATCATAATCTTATTTGGATAGTCCCAAAATTCTTCTCATTTTCTTCAAGAAAAAAAATTATATGCTCATATCATCTTTTTCTACAGAGCCTAGAGAGAAATAATTTTACTCTTGTTGTCCCATATTAATGTTTCACAGTTGACTGAATACAAAAATAAAAAATAATAAAAATTATTTTGTTGAAAGTGGTGCACAAAAGAGAGAATTTACGTTAGCCACACAAAAAGTTTGCCTAAACATTTAATGCAATACTTTGACTATCAATAATTTTACTTATAGATAAATATATACTCCGTATTATAAGAATACACAAGTAATATTTAAAATTATATTTCAAAACAAGCTATTTAGTATTGAAATTATGTTTCAATTCATTTTATTTTTTAAATAATTTATATTCAAAATTTAAAAAGAAAATTATCTTAGAAGTCAAAGTGAGAAAATAAATAGTGTGATGCTAATTTGGTGGTTTACATTTATAAAAATGTTAGTGTAATATCTTGTGCCAATGCGAACCATTCAATATTGTTAGCTCTATCATGATTGAAATTAAAAAGGCAGGGAGGGTACCGTACTGTAACAACTAACGAAAAGAGTAGACAGATAAAGGAAAGAAAGAAAGATGTGAACCAGAAAGAGAAATATAAAGCAGAGGGGAAATGAAGGCTTCTGTCGCCATTATCTCTCTCTCTCTCTCCCTCTCTCTCTCTATATCTCTCCATTTCATAACTGATTTTGCGGCGTCTTGCATTTGTATTTCTGGAGTCTTGTAATTGATCGCGATGCCCGAGTGCTGCTTCCATTTCCCTGCGCAATTCAACCAGGTCAGTTCACGATCATCTGCTTCGTCTTCCTGATCCGAATTCAAGGATTGCACTTTAATTGCATCCAGTCTAGATCTTTGTCGTCGTATCAGGTAGGCAGCTGTTCTGCTGAGATGGAGGCTCACTTCAGCAAGCATTCTGTGCAAGAGATTACATGTTAGATCCCTCGAAACCCGTCGGTCTCCACTATGGCAACTACTGGCTTGGGTCATGGAGGAGCTGGGAGTTCGAGAAGCACCGAAGGCTTCGCGAATTTGTCCACTTCTGTAGACTGGTTGGGAAGAGACATGATTGAGCTGAGGTTGAGGGACAGAGTGGACATTGATGATGATGATAAAGTAAGCTTAATTGATTGGGGATGTCATGGCTGCTGTTTAGCTGTACTAGTTACATTTTTTGTGGGTTTATAGGTGCATTCAGCTAAAAGAGTCTCTTTATGCAGGATAGCGAACCAGATATAATCGATGGCGTGGGCGCAGAAACAGGTCACATAATTAGAACCACTATTGGTGGTAGAAATGGCCAACCCAAGAAGGTCTGCCATCTAATCTGTTGAAAGTTTACAATTGTTTTCACGTGGTCGGTGTGATAACGTAGGGTTGTATGTGTCAGTCTATAACACTCTTCGTGAATTTTCTATTGGACTTGACAGACTGTGAGCTACATAGCTGAACATGTGGTAGGAACAGGATCTTTTGGTGTCGTTTTCCAAGTAAGCGCCGGTACTGTATTGTTTGTCTGTTAAAGCTCATACTTTAGATACAAGGGTTAATTCGTGTTCTATCAGGCAAAGTGTAGAGAGACCGGAGAAATTGTGGCAATTAAGAAGGTTCTTCAAGATAAGCGCTACAAGAACAGGGAGTTGCAGATTATGCAAATGTTGGACCACCCAAATATCATTGCTCTCAAGCATTCATTCTTCTCAACAACAGACAACGAAGAGCTATATCTCAATCTTGTCCTTGAGTATGTTCCTGAAACTCTTAATCGAATTGCTAGGCAGTACAACAGGATGAACCAGCGTGTACCATTAATATATGTCAAGCTATACACCTACCAGGTATGCCCTTTTAGCAGTGTTGCTGTAAGTTGAACATTAAAATAAGTAGAGCAGACCAGTTTCCTGTCACTGTGATGACTTGACTTTGACAATCACGAGTTCCTGAAGTTCTGTACTTCTATTGGGGAATGAGGTTGATTTGGCTTACATATATCATTTTCTGTCTTCTTTTTACCCCACCAAACACCTCAAATACTGATATTAACACAATTTTACATTCCCTTTGTTTGAAAGCATCGTCATAAGCTTGCTTCTGTGTGTAACTAGTCTTGCACTCATCTATCTTGGATTCTTGGTGCAGATATGCAGGGCGCTGGCTTATATTCATAACTGTATTGGTCTATGCCATCGCGACATCAAGCCTCAGAACTTGCTGGTTAGATTTTTCTTGTTTGATAATAGAGCAGTTTCCCTCTCTTATTATAGAAGGTGTTATTTAGTACTCGTAACATAAATCTCCATCCTGCCTCATGGTTTGTAAATGAAAGGTGTCAATTATGGCTTTATGCTGCACTTGTTTTTTTCTCTTTATGGGCGAACATGATTTTGTATAAAGAAAGTAACTAGACCAGCCTATACTCTAGCCAATGTTATATATACATTGTTAAAGAGTAGTTTTCTGATATTTGTATACAATATGACCAGTCGATGATTGAACTATGAACCCAAGTAGTATGGAATGATTAAGTTTTGCCAGTTATTTCCCCAGTTGTTGACTTGAAACAAAGTTTTACTCATCAGCACACAAGTTTCAAATAATGGGGCAATAATTCATCTAGAGATGAAGTTTGAAGGAGATGAAATTTGTGCCAACAAGGGTGGTGGTAGTGTTGGTGCTGGAAAGGGAATTGGGATGTTGGGTGATAAAAGTTGCATAGGTTATGGTGGCAGAGTAACTGTTACAGCTGCCAAGGTAGTGTGATGGGGATGGTTTCTTGTTGATGCTTAATGGAGCTATAAGAGTCGTTATTGACAATGTTTTTGCTTTGGGTAAATAATGACTAGATTAGAATCGCACTTTAAACTTCCATTTTCTTCTTTCTTTGAAGTTTTGTGTATTAATGCAGCAATGCGTCAAGGTTGTAACCTAAAAGGTCTCTTTTTTAAAGTTGTAAGGTTGTGTACATCTTGCCCAGTTGCCCCCCCTACACCCCTATGAACTTGGGATTATATTGAGTTGCTATTGGATCTGTGGATGCTGGTGCCTAAACTAATCTCTGAACCTACTTTATTTAATGATCTGACAAAATCCTTTTTACCTCTAGGTGAACCCACATACACATCAGCTGAAACTGTGTGATTTTGGAAGTGCAAAAGTTTTGGTAAATATTTGGGTTATATAAGCCATCATTATCTTTTAATAGAAGTTTTCTAAGTGTTGTTTATATGACGATACATTAGGTGAAAGGGGAACCCAATGTATCATATATCTGTTCAAGATATTATCGGGCTCCCGAGCTTATATTTGGTGCCAATGAATACACTACATCTATTGATATTTGGTCCACAGGTTGTGTCATGGCTGAACTACTTCTTGGACAGGTATTCTATTGTTCTGGTTCTATTACGATATGATGATATGTTAATTCTACAAGTTCTATTTCTACTTATATTTAATGATCACGGGCAGCCTTTGTTTCCTGGAGAGAGTGGGGTTGATCAATTAGTGGAGATTATAAAGGTGATTGCTCGCTCACTCTAGAATTTTATATACTTCATTTAGATTACTAGTTTGTCCTTTCATTTTAAATTACTATACAGGTCTTAGGAACACCAACCAGAGAGGAGATCAAATGCATGAACCCAAACTATACTGAATTTAAATTTCCACAGATAAAGCCCCACCCATGGCACAAGGTACTCCTTTCTACGTTTCACTCTCGTATTACGATGCTGCCATTATCTTTAGTTGAGGTTGAAACTTCGAGTAGAATGGCAGAGCCATACAGATCAACCGTTCATTGAAGTCGTAGTAAGAAATAGGAGTACGACTTAATGTATGTTCTCATATATATTCCTTTTCAGATCACAATAGAGGCATTTAAAAGATTAATTTAGACCTGGATAAATCCATTTGTGGCAAGACCAGTCCCCTTTAACCCAACATCTCACATTGCTGATTATCATTAAAAAG